GAATGGGATGTCAGGGGTTAATTTATTCTTCACTTCTTAATGTATTCATACTTCACCACTCCCATATCTAGCTCCACCCATTGTATATATAAGGAGCTACACACACTCTTTTCTTTGCTTCTATCTGTGAATATTTAGTGAATATAGAATGCCTTATGTAAATAAAAGAAAGTATATTTGAACTCTTAACTCTCTCATAACTTATTGAGTCTGATCCTGAAAATATTGCAACATATATTTTCTTGGGCATACTTGGGGGTTAACATATGTGTATATTATTCATTAAAAGTCTGGCATTGTATGTATTCCTTCTCTTGTAGTATCTCTGGGTTTAATGTCCATCTTCTTATTTTCTTTTTTTGATCTTTCCATATTATTTTCAGGAAGTGACCTTATTTCTAGAGGTAAATAATAAACAACACACTTCTTGGCAGAATCTATGGGACACAATAAAAGCATACACAAGAGGAATAACTGTAGCTTACATGGATGTTTAAGAAACTCATTTAAGTTTTTTTTTTTAATTTTTATAATACAAAACTCTAGGAAAGGCCTTATAAAATATAAAATAGGACTGACCAACTGTACTCGCTCCATCAGGAAGGCGAGCAGTAAACCCCGTCAGGCAAGAAATTCAGGAAAAGAGCTTTTTTTGCTGTGACTTTCAGCCTTTTAAATATTGTGCCACTCAACGTGAGGTCTGCTCCTCCATCTTGGCCTTTCGAAAGGCCCTGGAATCCTGGTTCTGCCAAATGGATTGAGGGCCCAATGGGGGCATCCCACTCTGGAATTGTTTAGTAGATTAGGAGAAGATCCCACCGCACCCCGTTTATGTATTCATCCCTTTTATCCAGTTTGGTTAACTTGTAACATGCTCATTTTTAAGACTTTATTTTTTTTTTTTACGTTGTCATTATTTTATATTATTGTTTTGAGAGTGTAAGTCGCCCATGGTCACTTTACAGTGAAATGGATGGATTTATTAATAAATATAATGAATACATAAAAACGTGTAGAAGAACTAATCAGAAGAGTAAAGGATCAAAGAGGATGGGGAATGTTCTGCCCCAGCTCCGGATTCCCGAGGATATTGACACACAACAACGATCCTTATCAAATTTATTAAGTAGCAAGAATAAACCAAAGTCTGGCAAAGGTTGGCAACCAGCCCAGAAAACAAGATACGATAAGACTTTTCCAAAAATGCTCTCATAATTACAAATTGTTTCCAGCAAGAAATTACTAACTACGTGCGACTTAAATAGGCTAAGGGAGTGACCAATTATTCTCAATCCTTACTCTCGAGGAGACCTCCTCCTCCTGAGTAGCCACTCCTGCCTTTTGGCAGCCCTGCGTGCTCGAGCATTGAGAAAAGGCTCCTCCACTTCGCTCTCTCCACTTGAAGGAGTCTCTGGAGGTTCTGAAGGCCCAGGTTGAGTCTCTGCCTCTGGCACCACATCCTCTTCAGCTTCCTCGCTGTCCGACGCGAACACCGGCTGCGCAGGCTGCTGGTGCAACCCAACCCCAGCCTCCTTGTTGTCGGGATCAGCCACGATCCACGCAGGCCGCTGGCGGGCCACAACAGGGAATAACCATCCAAAGCTAAAATGCAACACTGTGTTTCGAAGCCAAGCCTCCAAGATGCTCTTCTAGATGGAAGACCAGGAGTTGGGTTTTATTCATGGCAGGAAACAAGAGCCGGAGACCAAACCATCCTGGTTCTACCGGCCAGGCACCAATCAGAGCAAGAGGAATTCCTCAGCAAGAGTCGCGAAGCAAGCACAGCGCATCTTCACGCGGTGGCTCTATAACTCATTCTCCAATCATTGAGAGAAAAGTACAGGCAAGGGAGGAGCCTTGTGGATTACGCAAAAAACAAACAAAGCAACAGCTGTGAATAAGCCAAAAGATGGGCAAGCAAACATGGATCCATTTTTTGTATCTTTTCTTCTGCTGTCATAGCATTAACCCTCTTTTTATTTACTGCAAGCTGTCTAGAGACATTTAGGTGGGGTGGGCGGTGAATACATTTGATAAATAAAGGGACCGGGGGGGGGAATTCCACCCACCGTTTACCTGAAGCTTAAGAATGGCAAAGTCTAGATTGCAACACCAGCTCTTGCTAATAATTTCCCGTGTGTCAAACTGCTCTTCTAATGAATCTCGATGGTTACTCTGCAGACAAAGGCAGCGAAGAAATGAAGATGCCAAGTCGGGTCATTCTTTGGGGAGGACAGATTGAAGAAGGAATGTTGGTGTAGTGTGGAGGGGTAAGAAAATATATTAGAATATATGTACTGCGAATATACAGTAACAATAAACCTTGGTTCACAACTAAACGTAAGCAGCTACATCGTTCCAAAGAGGAAGCCTACAGAAAAGGGAGATCAGAGCAGCAAAAAGAAGCTACTCTGAAAAGCTAAGGAATCAGTTCTCAACAAATGAACCAGAAAACATGTGGAAAACTCTTAAAAATATCACCGGTTACAGCAAACCTTCTTCCCAAGCTGAAGGAAATCAACAACTGGCAGATGACTGAATGTGTTTTACTACAGGTTTGAGAGAAAACTACTACCACCCATCTCTACAATCCCCATCTCAGACACACCAACAACAGCCAAGCCTCCTACAACCTACCCTATCTCATTGAGCCCACCTCCTCTGGTGACTACAGAGAATGAGGTGCAAAGCTATTTCACAGACAAAAGCCAGGAAAAGCACCAGGTCCAGACAAGATAACTCCTTCTTGCTTAAAAACTTGTGCTGACCAACTGGCCCCCATCTTCACCAGCATCTTTAATAAATCACTAGAGATGTGCTATATTCCTTCCTGCTTCAAATGCTCTACTATCATCCCAGTGTCGAAGAAATCCTCCATCAAGGAACTGAATGAATTCAGACCGGTTGCTCTAACATCTGTAGTTATGAAGATCTTTGAAAGACTAGTGCTCGGCCACCTGAGAAAAATCACGAATCCACTGTTAGACCCCTTGCAATTTGCCTACCGAGCAAATAGATGACAGATGATGCTGTTAATATGACTGCACTACATCCTACAACATTTTGAATCTCCAAAGACCTATGCAAAGGTCCTCTTTGTAGACTTCATCTCAGCATTCAATACCATCATTCCAGATATTCTTCTAACTAAATTAAATCAGCTATCTGTACCTGACCACACTTGTAAATGGATCATAAGCTTCCTAACAGACAGGAAGCAGCAGGTGAAGTTAGGAAAAAATCACATCAGATACCTACACAATTAGCACAGGAGCCCCCCAGGGCTGTGTGCTCTCTCCACTTCTCTTCTCTCTGTACACCAATGACTGCATCTCAAAAGATCCCTCTGTTAAAATACTGAAGTTTGCAGATGATACCACAGTGATTGGTCTCATTCAAGACAATGATGAATCTGCATGCAGATGGGAGGTAGTATTGTGGTCCGCCAACAGCCTGCGGAGTTGGCAGCAGAGTCGGACAGCGATGAGGCTGAGGAAGAACATGGGTCAGTCCTGGAGGCTGGGGAAGGCCCGAATGAGGACTCTGCGTCGGAGGCAGAGATGGGGCCAGGGCCATCGGGGAGTGATATGCGGACTCTGGAGCCTCCAGAGGCTGACAGTAGAAAGGCAGAGGAACAGGAGGAGCCTGCACGTATGAGAAGAGCTGCCAGAAGGCAAGAGCAGCTAAAGCAAAGAGGACGACTCGGGAGTAGGGCCAAGAGATGATTGGCCCCTCCCATAAGGCTTAAAAGACCAGCAACGGCTCTTGGGCTCAACGTCGGAAAACAACGTTGATAGACTTGTTCTTGTCTTGCTGCACTTATCTCTGATTGGAGCCTTCTGCTTCTGAACTTTTGCCAAGAGAAGCCTTTGGCAGTTTGCCTAATTATACCAAGGTTGGTGATTAGACTGAAGAATTTGTATTATGAAGAATTTGTTTTGATTTAGTTTGGACTACGCTGAGAATGAGTTAATTCTCAGCTGTTCTAATAAAGTCTGTTGTTTTGGAACTGTTTGTGTTGAATACTACCTACGTGGGCCTGGGTCACAACAGGTTGAACAGTCTTGAGATATGATAGAACCTAGAAACTTGAAGGACTCTACTGTTGATACTGTGTTGTCTAGTATTGTAAAAGGTGGTAGTATAAGAGGTTTTCTTCTAAAATCCACCACCATTTCTACAGTTTTGAGTGTATTTAGTTCAAGATTGTTCTGGTTGCACCACTAAATACACTGCACGAGTCAAAAAGAGGGCTGTAAAAATATCTACAGACCCCTCACATCCTGAACATAAATTGTTTCAACTTCCACCCTCAAAGAGACGCTATAGGACACTGCACACCAAAACAATTTGACACAAGGACACTTTTTGGCCAGTAAAGAATTCTATTCTATTCTATTCTATTCTATTCTATTCTATTCTATTCTATTCTATTCTATTCTATTCTATTCTATTCTATTCGAACTATTTCGCCTGCTATTTTGCATACGGCAGCTAAAATTAAATCTTGTTAAACTCCATTGGACTCCCAGAAATACCGATTCCAATCTGTTATCCGAATAGTTCTTACTAGTTAACAAGCCTGTATCCTCTACAGCAGTGGTCACCAACCAGTGGTCCGCGGACCACTGGTGGTCCATGAGAAAATGTTGGTGGTCCGCGGCACACCTGGGTGGAGGACCCGCTCTGGGATGAGCAATAGCCAGTCCTGTGACTAGAGCTCTGGAATATGGGACTGGCCAGGCATGGGGGGGCTGTAAATCTCTGCTGTAGAGGGAGGTTCGTGCAACTTGCAACTTTGCAGCACAGCCCTCGCGGGCTGGAATGACGTAATGGTACAAAAGGTACAAAGGTACAAAATGGTACAAAAGTGCAACCAGGCCGAAGCAACGGGTGGCGGCAACCCCAGGCTGTTTCTTCCCCCTGCTTTGACTTTCTGTAGGCTGAACCCACCAGTGGCTGTCCCCGCCCCTCACCCTCCTTTCCCAGTCAATTCTCACCTGGCAAGGGAAAGGGAGAGGGGATGGAGATTAGCTCCATATTCCAGAGCTGGAGTGAAGCTTCATCTCTTGCTGGATCTTGCGGCCATTTCTTCTGGCCCTTATTGGTGCTCTGCACACATCGGTCTCTCGGGGAGATGCTTAACTTCCTCTCAGCCCCAAAACACTGGCTGGCCCAAGAGATGAGAGAGAGCAAGAGAATGAGAGAGAGAGAGAGAGAGGGAGGGAGGGAGGGAGGGAGGGAGAGAGAGACAGAATGAGAGAGATAATGAAAGAGAGAGAGAGAGAATGAAAGAGCGAGAGAATGATAAAGAGGGGAGAGAGAGAGAGAGAGAAAGAGGAGGGAGAGTGCCTGAAGGACCACATCTCATCACTGGAAATCCAGGTGCTTCAGCAAGCGGCGCACTGGATTCGTATTAGTGGTCCACGGGATTTAAAATTCTGAACTTGGTGGTCCCTGAGGTCCAAAAGGTTGGGGACCCCTACTCTACAGTTTTCAAGCCCTAGATCCTCTACAGTTAACAAGCCCTGTATCCTCTACAGTTCTCCACCTCTTCTCCCCTACCACGATCCTACCTCTGTTCATTTTCTTACCTTTCTACCACGGGCAGAAAAAGTACAGGATTTCCTCCCATACCGGGCAGCATAAAAGAGGGGGGGAGGAAATGGGGCGAAGGGAAATTTCCCGTAGACATCAGAATGAATGGACCATTCAAGGTTGGGAGCAAGCGGGATGTCAGTCCACGAAAGCGCCCCTTTCAGAGCAATCCGAGATCGGGCCCCAGGAGTAGCTTCTACTCACCGACCGGGGTCCTTGCAGCAGCGACGAAAACGACGGCCTCGTCCCCGCGATCCATGATGCTTCGAAGAGGCAGAAACACCTTCGCTTCTGCAGCCGCGCTCTTTGCCGGTGCAAACAGTCTCGCGCCTCCTTTAGACTCAGGCAGAGATGCGCACCCTACTTCTCATTGGTTGCCCCGGGCCCCGCCCACCTCTTACTTTGCCTGGCAGGGCTTCGATTTGAGTAACTTGAATAACGTTGAAGAACTGGAATTAACTGGGCTTATAATGCTAAGGCATAAATCATGTTTCTCCAAACACCTACATCTAGGTTCCCACAACATATTAAGCCAAGGAATTTTTTTGACAGGTGAGCGTTGACAGGAAGGGTTGTAAACAACATGGAGAAAGGGTCGTAATTGTTTTTTTTTTAATGTGACAGTAGATTAACTGATTTAATTGCTGAGTCAAAATCAATGTGAAAATATAAAATCCGAAGCTTGTTCAATACATTACTTAAATTAGCTTTGTTATTTCCAAGTAATGTAATGGCTAAACTAAAATGAGCTTGGTGTAGTTTACAGTTTAGTGTGTGAATTAACCCAATGTAACTTCTAAACCATGGTTTATAACTGATCCTTTTCCAACAACCAGTGTTCCCTCCCCAAGTGTGCTTCATCTATCCTTGAAGGGGCAGAAAACTATACTGGAATGTAATTGACTGTTTCCGTTGCCCATTTTCATCGTGCTTTTTACCTTGAAAATATACACAATAAATAGAAAACGAATACCCATATAATTCCGTTCAAATTAAAAGCCACTAAGATAATTTTTTTAAAAAAATATTTTTAAAATAATTTTCACAGGAGCATGTTATATTAAATTTTACAAACCTTTAAAGGAAAAGTAAATATTACATTTGGATAGCAATATTTCCATGCATAAACAAATTGATTGCCTAAATTTTAATTTTATAGCATTTTTATTGTGAAGCTCCTGGATTATTTCATGAAAGGATGAAAATCAATTTCATCTTTTAATAACTCAACCAGTGAGTGTTAAAAAACAATAAAAATGTCATTTCTCTATTTCTCTATAAATTGCAATTAAAACTTTGAAAATCATATGAAATACGTTTAATAGTATTTTTATGAAGAGAGGGACCAATGAAGACAAAAGTGTTTAGGACACACATAGATCATAATGTCCTGATGGGCAATGCAACCCCACTCGGAACCATTGACAGAAAATGTCAAAATGTAAGGAGACCTAGAGTCCACAGTGGCTCAGCATACAAGGGTTGAGTTTAAGCTGGGTTCTCCTTACCCATGTTCCCATAGACTCCAAACACCGGAAAGAACTTTTACAACATCATTTTGTTGGCCAGGTTTCGAGACATACCACTGGGTATTATCAGCTTTACCTGAGTTCCACATAAGTGATGGGACGTACTATGTCATGATATTTCGTGCTTTTGGACATCTGTTGTTGTGATAGACTCTTCATTTCAATGCCCATGTCTTAATTGTTCAAGTTACTTTAATTCTGTTTTCTTACTTTGATCTTCATTGCCTTTAGGCTATATTCAAGACTGCTATGGACAGGTGAAGGTAGTGTTTTTTACCCCCTTATGCTAAATAGAACTCAATTTTGTGCTGGAGTGCCTCCAAAATACATAGTAAAAACCAAATTGCCTAATTTCTTGGAATTCTATCCTGATACCATCACTGGGACTGGAGGAGGCCATTTAATTTTCATTTCTGCTGTTTGAATTGCAGGTGGACTTTGCAAAATAATTCAAGGTGTGGGGCTCGGCTTTCCTAGGCCCAGTTCAATACTGCGCAGAATGCAGAACAATCTAAAATGGTTATCTGAAATTGGCGTAAAGGTTGCTTTCTGCTGTGTAGAAGTGATCCTTTTTTCACGATTATCAATTTGTTTGTAATTCAGAGCTTTGCACTTTGTGCCATTGTGAAACAGCTGGAAAACTATTAATGAAATGTTTCAGGAATGACCAATTTGTTCATAAGAGTAATTACTAACAAAATCTTTTTCTACAGAATATATTGGCCAGTCCTGCACAAGTAGTTTGAATAATGTTGAAGAACTGGAATTAACTGGGCTTATAATGCTAAGGCATAAATCATGTTCCTCCAAACACCTACATCTAGGTTCCCACAACATATTAAGCCAAGGAATTTTTTTGACAGGTGAGCGTTGACAGGAAGGGTTGTAAACAACATGGAGAAAGGGTCGTAATTGTTTTTTTTTTTTTAATGTGACAGTAGATTAACTGATTTAATTGCTGAGTCAAAATCAATGTGAAAATATAAAATCCGAAGCTTGTTCAATACATTACTTAAATTAGCTTTGTTATTTCCAAGTAATGTAATGGCTAAACTAAAATGAGCTTGGTGTAGTTTACAGTTTAGTGTGTGAATTAACCCAATGTAACTTCTAAACCATGGTTTATAACTGATGCTTTTCCAACAACCAGTGTTCCCTCCCCCAAGTGTGCTTCACCTATCCTTGAAGGGGCAGAAAACTACACTGGAATGTAATTGACTGTTTCCGTTGCCCATTTTCATCATGCTTTTTACCTTGAAAATATACACAATAAATAGAAAACGAATACAAGTAAGATACCCCTATAATTCTATTGAAATTAAAAGCCACTAAGATAATTTTTTAAAAAAATATTTTTAAAATAATTTTCACAGGAGCATGTTATATTAAATTTTACAAACCTTTAAAGGAAAAGTAAATATTACATTTGGATAGCAATATTTCCATGCATAAACACAAATAGACTCCAAACACCAGAAAGAACTTTTACAACATCATTTTGTTGGCCAGGTTTTGAGACATACCACTGGGTATTATCAGCTTTACCTGAGTTCCACATAAGTGATGGGACGTACTATGTCATGATATTATGTGTTCCCTTTTGGACACCTATGTTGTTGTGATAGACTTCATTTCAATGCCCGTGTCTTAATTGTTCAAGTTACTTTAATTCTCAAGTTTTCTTACGTTGACCTTCATTGTCTTTGGGCTATATTCAAGACTGGTATGGACAGGTGAAGGTAGTAGTACCTCCTTATGCTAAATAGAACTCAATTTTGTGCTGGAGTGTCCCTCCAAAATACATAGTAAAAACCAAATTGTCTAATTTCTTGGAACTCTATCCTGATACCATCATGTTCCCATAGACTCCAAACACTGAAAAGATCTTTTACAACATAATTTTGTTGGATAGGTTTGGAGACATACCACTGGGTATTATAAGCTTTACTTGAGTTCCACATTAGCGATGGGACATACTATGTCATGATATTATGTGCCCTTTTGGACACATATGTTGTGATAGAGTTCCTAAAGGATCAGAAAGTTAAGTTTTAGGCTATGAATAACAGAGCTAATTAATTCATTCAGCAGGCATAAAATAGGTATTAGTAGGAAAAATGATTGTCCTTTTTGCCTCCCTGATCCAGTCATGGCAAGCAAAAGCAACTGAAAACAAGTCTGCTTCAGTTGCAGCATCTTTGTTGTTTCCATTTTTTGTCTGTGTGTTTTTGCAGTTTGCCTTTGAGGGTGAAACAGGAATGCTAGTGCCAATAGAAGACAATATTTGTAGCTCACGGTTAAACTGTGAGGTCTTTAGTGCTCTTGGTTATTTTTTTGCAGATGTTTCTTTGGGTAATGAAAGCTCGGGGCACCAAATACCCCCTCAGGAATGCCAGTGCAATGCAAAAGGCTCAACCTTTCTCTGTCTTACACATAGTATCTTTGACTCCGATTGGGCTACCTCATTCTTTTTTAATATTAAAATAAAAGTGGAGGGAAAAAACAGAATATGTCAGTATCAGGTGGCCAATGAACACAAAGGTCACTGCAATGCCAACCAACAATAAAGGCTGTTGGTTCACTGGCCAAGTGTGGTCTATTGTCTTGGTTAGTATAGGTTTGAAGGATAAGTACTGTAATTATGATACTATACAAAACATGACTTAGTGTGCTGTTATTTTGATGCATTATCAATATTACTGATCACCTTGACCAAAAAGATTTCCTCCATATCCTTACTATATCTGTCCTGCTCACCTAAAAAAACACTCAAGTTCATTATTACAAATTTGATGGGCCATTTAACTATCAAGTCCTATTTCCTGCTCTATCCATGGTGGTGATCCAGTCTTCATTTCAGCACATCCAGCAAGTGTAGCTTCATTGTCTCTCTCCATTATTTTATGATATACTAGCTGATTACCCGATGTTGCCTGGGTATTTATTTATCCCTATCTTGTATTATACAGGAAAAGGAATGAATTATATCTTTAGTGTCAAATCAAAGCAATTTTATTTACAGGGTTTTAAAAGTATAAGCACAGTATACAAATTATAAAGTAAAATATTATTCAAATTAAGTATAATATTAATTTTTAAAAAACTTGATTATAAACAACATTTTTAGTTTCACCTCCAAGAGCAAGAATAAATAAATTCTGTGGTGAACCCACTCTTGAGCAAGCAACATAAATTTATCCGTGGGAGAAACATGGTGATCTCAAATCCACTCCACAGTACTTAATAGACTGAACCTGTGGCTTATTGATCATGATTGAGAATGCAAGTGTCAATTTTTTTTCAAATTTTTTTCAATTTTTTTCCCAGAGAGTAAGTCATCTGTGTACCAAGTTTGGTTGAAATTGCTGGAAAACACACACACACACACACACCGAGGGGTGTTAGGCAGGGGTGAAATGCTCCTGGATCGGACTGATTCGGTGATCCGGTAGCGATGGCGGAGCAAAGCTCCGCCCACCCACCCAGGTGTCATTACTTCCTGCGCATGTGCAGAAGGTTTTGCTTCCAAAACCGGTAAGGAAGGTAAGTAGATTTTATCCCTGGTCTTGGGGTGTCTTATCCCCACAGTATTTTTTTCCAGAGAGTAAGTAATCTGTGTACCAAGTTTGGTTAAAATTGCTCAAGGCGTCAAAGAGTTATGGTGGAATACGCTGTGTGCAGAAATAGGAGGCTTGGAAAGGTAAGTAGAACAGTGAGGAGGGGGAAAAGCTGTGCCACGCGATTTAGATTCATTAGAAAGCAGGATTTCCTGCTTTCTAGCGATTTTAAATTGCACGGCACAGCTTATTGTCGGAAATACCGATTCGGACCAACCAGCAGCTTTTTTTAACTACTGGTTTGCCGAACCGGTAGCTTTTATCACTACCGGTTCGCTGGAATCATTGCGAATCGGTAGGATTTCACCACTGCTGTAAAGCCTACAAACTTGAAATTTGCCAGGTATGTTCGGCTTCTAGGTGCTCACTAATAAAGGATTTTTCAAAATGACCATCAGAGCATTAGTATTTCCTATATTATTATAACCATGCTCTGATGCTAAGGAGTTCTACTCCCCCTCCCCACCTGAAAAGAAATCTGTTCCAAATGCAAAACACAAGGAGAGGAGAGGAGTTTCAGTTTCAGTTTTACTTTCACAGCAGCAAGCAGGGGATAGGATAGGCTTCTGTGGGGCAAGGCTGATGGAGAGAAGGGGATAGGATAGGGGAGGCTTCTGTGGGGCAAGGTTGAGGGAGAGAAGGGGATAGGATAGGGGAGGCTTCTGTGGGGCAAAGCCTGAGGGAGAGAAGGGGAGAGGGAAGGGCGATCATAACTATTAATTAATTTTCAAGCTGTAAGTGTCGATTTATCAAGCCCAATCACATAGTTTCATAGCGGAGCACAGGTATTCAGCTAGTATTCCAAAGAACAATGGAAATTTCTTAGCAGAATGGCATGCTGATTCTGCTAAGAGTCACCTGTTTTCCAGAAGTTAATCCTCCAAAGTGAAAACTATTTGTGAAGTCCCAAGGGAAAATTTGTTTCAAGCTCAAGCTATGTCCAGAACATAACAAACCACTTCTAGTTTGGGGGATTGACTTCTGGGAAATTGCCAATCCGTGCACAGAATTTGATTAACACTATCCAGAAAGAAACTAGAGCATTCTGGAATTATCAAGAACATTCCACACATAAAAATTTAGATTTTGCACACCCAAAATACATATACCACTCCATTTCTTCTGATAAATAAAGCTATAAGCCAACTATATAAGACCAAGCACCAACATTTACTTTAAACTGTATGCTTACTTTACTGTATGCTAGCATCTTAAAACTAGGAATCATTTTGGCTTAGGATGCTGAATGTTCATGCCCAATTCTGATTCAACAAGATTAAGCAAAAATGCATAAAGCAAATCAATACTCTGATGTTATCAATTGTATGCATACTTACCACTTCAATTTTTTGCGATTTGGATTCACTTGCGCTTCATTGTGAAATGCTCTGAGCTTTACAACAAGATCTATAGCATCTTGAGGAGCATTAACTGCTAACATATTTGGAATAACAAGAAGAGACCTTGCAAATTCTCCTATAGCAAGCTGTTCCTGTGATCCCTAATTCAAACAAGAAAAATTCTATTAATATCTGGGTTAATCTTATATATATATATATATATAAAAGGATCTATGTATGTATGTATGTATGTATGTATGTATGTATGTATGTATGTATATATGTATGTACCGTATTTTTTGGAGTATAAGACGCACCTACTTTTTTTGTTTTGTTTTTTTTAATAAAGTGTTTTTTTGTTTTTTTTTAGACAAACACATGCAAATATACAATGTATTTTCTTTGAACAGAGTATTTGGCTGGTTCACAAATTTAAACAGTGTTTAATCATTTCAATTAAATTTACAATTTCTATATTTCCTTTTTGCCATATTTATTCCTCATCTATTTTTTTTAAAACCAATATTTCCCTTCATCCTCATCTCTAATCTTAATCAATTTTTCCCTTCTATTCTATATTATACCCCTTCCTATTGTTATCTATTTTTATCTCCATCCTCACATTGGTTAATTATGTAATATTACAATTGTTTAATACAAATTCAATATTTTAATATAAATCAGTTATAAAACTAACTTTTTTTGTATATTAATCAATATGAACATGAATATTCCAATTATTTCCAGGCAATCCAATTTCTTACAAATCAATTATATTTACCAATAATAATAAACCAAATAATTTCCCCATATATTCCTCCAAATCACAATTTAACCATTTCTGCTTTCAACACAATATACAATTAATAGTATCTCAATTATTACAATGTCCTAGTTAAATAGAGCTTTCCCCTTATGTTACTCATTTTCACATCTTAAACTCTCCCAATAACCCAAATAGTTTTGCCCATATAATCCTCCAAATCACAACTTAATCATTTCTACTTTCATCACAATATATAATTAAAAATATTTCAATCGTTACAATTTCCCTAATTAAATTTTAAAATGTTCTAGCTGTTATCCAAGCTACAACTTAATCCTTTTTACTTTCACCATCATATACCAAGGTATTTCAATTGTTACAGTTTATACTTATTCATATTTCTAAAAAAAATAAAAAAATAAAAACTTATCATTGTCGAGATTTCAAAAATACAAAGACAAATATTCCAATTATTATTCATTTCATTTTTACAATCATGATTTCCCATTTATTTCTTACTACTATTCATATTTCAATTCTAAATATGTATAACATCTTTCTCTTTCATTTCTTTTTCTTTTTCTCCCTTCCATTTTTATTTTTGCCTTTTTCTTTCTTTTTCTTTTGTGTTTTAAAATCTTGAACTCTCCTCTTTTGCCCTTAATTTCCCATTGTTTGCACCTACCTTTTTTGGTGAGGAAAAAGAAGAAAAAGAAATCTCCCTCTGCCTAATTTTGCCTCCTTGCAACAAACAGTAAACAGCCTGCTTTATTGTCAGTTTCATTTTCAGCATAGCCTGATTAGCACAAGGAAAAAAAAATCTGCTCCAGCAATTTACTTCCTTGTAGCAAGCAGCAGAGCCCTGTGCAAAACAGCTGAGAGCAAATCAGCTAAGTCGGGAGGCCGATCTAATCAACTTGTGCTAATTAGCCTATGGTGAAGCTGAAAGGGGCTGTTTTTTCTTGCTGTTTGCTTGCAAGGAGGTAACTGCTGCTAGGCAGAGGCCAAAGGGTGGGGGCCAGTGGGTGCACAGGGCTACATTCGGTGTATAAGACGCACCTAAATTTTCACCCCCTTTTGGGGGGTAAAAAGGTGCGTCTTATACTCTAAAAATACGGTATTTATGGAACAGCTCGAGCAATTTCAACCAAATTTAGTACACAGATGACTTACTCTCTGGAAACAAATACTGTGAGAGTAAGACACCCGATGTGTGTGTGTCTGTGTCTGTGTGTGTTCCACCATAACTCTGGAACGCCTCCAGCAATTTTAATCAAACTTGCTACACTGGTGACTTACTCTCTGGAAAAAAATACTGTGGAGGTAAGACACCCCTAACACCACTCGGTGTGTGTGGGTGTCCTAGCATAACTCTGGAACAGCTCAAGCAATTTCAACCAAACTTGATACACAGATGACTTACTCTCTGGAAATGAATACTGTGGGGGTTAGACACCCCGGTGTGTGTGTGTGTTTGGCACATAATGCACATGCAGCGTGCATCTGGTGCACATTGCACATGCACACATAGCATACATTTGGAATGCACTGCATGTGCATGCACAGCACATGCTTGGTGTGCACTGCACATGCACAGGCAGGAAACCAGTGGCAAACCGGGGAGGATTTCATCACTGCTTTATGGTCCTGGAGATTTTGTGATAATTCTTGAGTGGTATTTTGCTTTTATATATATACATTGTTTTAATGCTAGATTTTATCTATTCTTAGTATATATTACGGCTTCTACTCTGTCAAACATTCTGGCACCTGAGGTGAGATCTGCCCCCACCTTTCTGGCCTTCTGGAATGGCCTTAAAACATGGCTTTGCCAGATCGCTTGGGGCTCCAATGTGGATGCTTTCCACTGGAGGTGGTTTACAGTGTAAGAGAAAACTTCAAACACACCCCTGCTGTCCACCCCCTTGATTTTAAGTCTTCTTAATTTTAACTGTTTTTATATTTAGCTTTTTTACCGTTTTGTAAGCTTTCCAGAGTTGCTTTGTCAGTGAGATTGGCAGCATATACATTTAAGCAATAAAAGTATTGCTTTTATTTTTTGATGTCCTTTTTGGACTACAATGCCAAGATATGTTCCTTTGGAAGTGCTACTAGAAGTCTACAGCTCAACTTCTTCTTCTTCTTTTTTGCCATTTTTGAGGGAGGCGGACTTAGAATTAGGTATAATTTTTGAATGCTTTTTTGTGTGTTTTTCTTCAGTTTAATGTACTTTCTATCTGATCCTTTGAATTCTTCATCCAAGACTTTACTCGCACACCACACTCCAATAATTCATGTTTCTTCCACTAAATCCACACAGTACCAATTGAATTAGAAAAATGTCCCCATTCCTTTATTCTTCACCCTTAATAAAATCAGATTGCTAAAACCAGAACAGATGATTTTATGACTTATCTTTAAATTGCTCAACAAACCAACTTGAGGCATTTGCTGCAGTCACAGTGCCTGTCCCATCAGTTATGAAGCAAGGTTTCAACTTTGACACTGTTTCTAGGTTGCACCCATGGTGAGGATGTTCATCAGGTTTAACTTCTGTGGAGCCAGTGGGGAAAAAAAAAAATTTCAGCAGTGGCGCTTTCCGCTGGTGAAGAAACGGAGTGAGAGGCGCAGAAGCTACTACCATGGTGGCTGCCCCCCATGCACGGACGGGACAGCCCGTAGTGCTTTTCCTTCAGCCTGGTGGGTGGCGCTTACCCGGATGGGCTAGTGCGGGTCGCCCTTCATCTTGCCGAAGAGCAGGTCGCCGTACTTGTAGCTGTGCCGCTGGCCGGAGCGGAACATGGCACAGGTGGAGAGACCGATGCAGCCCCTGCTGAGGCTGCCCTGGCCAAGTGATCGCCCCACCTCCCCAGCAACAGACGCGGCAGGGCCGCCTATTTTTCTTTTAGACTTGATGGATACATGTCTTGAAAAAAATGTGTCTGTTTTTATTTTTAACATCAGCAAAATTTTTTGTATGCCACAGGGATGGAAGGACATACAGATCCCGGCAACGGAAGAACTTATGGTGAAATGAAATGAAGATGGCGAAACATTTTGATCAAAGAAAAGACTGTTATCTAACTTTGTTTCTACTTGGAAACCACTTTTGGATTTTTTCCTTGAAACCAAGACAAATGAAACTTTGATTTTGGCATTTAACGATCAGAACTGTTTTATGATTATAATAATACTGTGTGTTACTGTTAGTTTTGGAGTAAGAGGTCACAGTATGTCACATTTGTATCTCTACCAAAGAAAATGGGAAGTTGTTGTTCCTTGACTTTTTCTTTCCTACTTCTTTATTTTTCTCTTTCTTACATTTTACTTTTTGTTGAAAGTTTAATTTATTTGAAAATGCACTGCCCTTCAATAGAGAGTGGTACAGGGGTCATCTGCAGTAGCATTTTATCCTGAATCTCTAATGTCAGTTCATGAGCTATATGCTTCTTGTTATTAAAAAAAGTGGTAGCATGCTTATTTCTTCCTTTGTATGACAATGACTATTAGCCATTTCAGTGACTGCAATTTTCCACACTCTCTAATTACATGTATTCTAGTCTAGGAGTGATAAATTGAATCCATATAATTAAGCCATGGGTTTAAGTACAGTATAAAACCAATCTATGTTGCTTGGCTGATTTTGGGTTAGCATAAGAAGTAAAGCCAACTGCTGTGATTCATTTATTAACCAAACTATAGCATAGAAAAATATGTTACACTCATAATAAGGTTCCAAGAATTGATTTAGTATGTCTTGAAATTAACTCACGAGAAATTTTAAAATTGTGGATTATTCTTTAAATTACTATTAAATTGCACAATTATTTTTTTAAAAAAAGACGTGTTACTGAAACGGGAAGATACTCTGTTTCAATCTATAAACCACTTCAAAACTGACTGTGGTAGCAATGAATATTAGGTATCATTCTTTCCAGATATGTAATTATATTTCTGTTTTCAAAGTCTAGATGTTTATAACTGGCAGCACACAATAGTTACATTCACAATTTTATCTTCATCTAGCAGTAAAGACTAATTATGCCTGAGGTTACTAAGTGTCTCTCTCTTCCCAATACACCAATTATTCTAACACATGAAGGAGGAAGAATTGAAGAAATAAAAATGAATACAAAGATGAATCAATATAGTTAAAAACATATCCCATCCCCATGTCCAGTATGTCAAACTGCTCGCTGACCTTTTCTAGAAGGTCCAACAACAGGTACAATCTCTTTATCAAAATATTCACCCTTCTGGACATTTTCAGCCTTGTTCTGAGACATTACAGCATGTTGGTCTTGTTCTTCTCGAGTAACCTTCCATTGTTTGGCCACATTTTCAGCTGAAACAATTAAAAAGTGCAGTAGATACTCTAATCACAAAGCGTCAGAATTTAGTTACTATATACTTATTATATTTATTACACTGATTCTTCTAATACTGATAAGAGAATGCATCATTTACGTCATATAATGTTCACACATTCTCAGCAGTTTAGAATTGGGCTTTCTTGGAAATGTATTTCCACTGAATAAATGAGTGCACAAGGCAAAGAAATGCAATTCTGAAATCCTGTGAGGTTGATCCTACTTGACTAGGTGATTATGACAAAAGAAGCTATTGGAAATCAACTGAGCAAGAGGTGCAAATGGCTGCAAAGTGGTGGATGCCTTTGAAGGTGATTTATAACTGTTTATTACATACTATATGTAATATACATTAAATATAAGTAAAAGTATACAATAGATTCAATTATACTGATTATAGAGTAAACTAGTTATTCATTACCATTTTATTATTTATATTACATATTTTGGCAAGAGCTCAAGATATTCTATACAGCACTCCTTCCTCCTATGTTGGTAAGTTGGAGTGAGAGAGAGAGAGACTGGCCTGAAGTCCAGTGAATTTTCCAGGCAGAGGGTAGATTAGAACCTGGGCCTTCTGCATCTAGTGGAACATCCTAACCACTGTGCCAATCTGGCTTTCAGTGTGGAATGATGACCTGGGAGAGGCTCTTTGCCTGGGGAATGTGACCCTAAATAGGGCTTCTTTATATTTACTTTTTTTCTAGATCATGGAACATAGCAATAGCAATTGCACTTAGATTTATATACCGGGATTTACAACCCTCTCTAAGCAGTTTACTGAGTCAGTGTATTGCCAACAACAATCTGGATCCTTACTTTACTGCCATCAGAAGGATGGAAGGCTGGGTCAACCTTGAACTGGTAAGAATCGAACTGCCAAATTGTTGGCAGCTGGCAGTCAGCAGAAATAGCCTGCAGCACTGTGTCACCACAGCTCTTAAGCAGGTATTTCCATGCTTTTGCAGAGTGTGGGTACAGGGATTCATTGCAATTGCAGCTGGCAAGCCTACATTGAAGCTGGACATTGCTCAATATTTGTCCTCCCATCCTTATAATTGTTACTTTCTCTCTACTCTTCTTTTTTCTGTGAAATAAAGCCGGGACACACTTTCATCTAATCTTCTTGTAAATGCTATTTTCATGTGGCTTACCTGTAACACTCATGTGATAACTGTAGAAGGCATTTGTCAAGCAGTCTACGATAATGGTGTCTTGCAAAGAGGCTTCACCCATCTTCACCCCGTCATGCAGATGAATGACATGAGGAGCCTGGGAAAAAAAAAACATTTTAACACATTTAGGACATTGAAAGCAACTTTCTTTAGAAGTGGATGGAAATAACCTCTGGGGCGCCCATTCTCATTGTTTGACCCTTCTATTCATCGGACATAAGTAAATCTAACATCAAGAACATAACCCAACTCAGTTGTAGAGCACGTGCTTTGTATGCATGAGGTCTCAGCTTCCATCCCTGATATTTCCCATTAGAAGAATCACATGGTATGTATGAATGAGAAAAAGTGTAAGAAAAAAGAAGCTTCCATATTGCTTCCTTGTGGATTCTAGCTGGGAGGAAGGTGAATATAGTTCACTTCTTCCCTATAGTTGGTATATATAGTATGTATCTATGTATGTATGTGTGTGTGCATGTATATATATATATGTGTGTGTGTGTGTGCGTGTATGTGTATGTGTGTGTATATATATATATATATTTGTTTTCAGAGGTTTTCGCGGGTGTTTGTATGTAGGTCTTTGGTTATTCGGGTTTTCTCCCGCGTAAAATTGGAGGTGTCTTGGCGACATTTCGACAAAGTCTCATTCGTCATCTTCAGGCTGGTGTTTTCGGCTTCGTGCTTCTAGGAGCAATGTGTGTGATCGCAGCTGTTTCTTCCTTTTATCTGCCAGCGGGGGTGTGAACTGATTGGGTGGGAGCTTGGCTGTGTTCTGATTGGGTGGAGGTGTGTTCTGATTGGTTGGGGGTTTGGCTGTGCTCTGATTGGATGGGGGGTTGGCTGTGTTATGATTGGCTGGGGGTATGTTCTGTTTAGGTGGGGGCTTGGTTGTGCTCGGGTTAGCAAGGGGATTTGAGCTGGTGAGCTGCGTTGCTGTTGTTTGGCTTCGTGTTTGTTGCCACAACTTCATGGTGGGTGTCAGTTTGCTTCATGTATGGATTGGAGGGGTTTAAAGTGGCTAATGATGCAGCTGTGGTCTGGCTTCTGGTTTGTGGTCGTGCCTCATTGGTGTGGGTTTGCTTTTTTCGTGGATGTGTGGTGGTGACATCCTGTGTGATTTTCGTGAGTGTGGGTCTGGTGTCATTGTGTTAGGGACACGTTTGTCAATAAGGGCGGGTTTCCAAATGGCTGGTAGGCGGGAGGTATCATCTCGTTTATTCATGCTGTGTGGACATTTTTCTATCTCGATGGCTTCTCTGATTATTCTGTTGTTAAAGTGTTCAGTTTTGGCGATAGTTCTGGTCTTTTTAAAGTCAATATCATGTCCTGTGGCTTTGAGGTGTTGGACCAGGGAAGAAGTTGGTTCCTCTTTTCTGACTGAGTTCTTGTGTTTTTCAATGCGTGCACTTATTCTTCTGTTGGTTTGTCTGATGTATGTGGTGGGGCAGGCGGTGCAAGGGATTTCATATACTCCTTGATTTTCTAACTCAATTTTGTCTTTGGGGTTTCTTAGGATGGTGGATATTTTTCGGTTTGTGCAGAATGCTATCTTGATGTTGTGTTTGTGGAGGATCTTGCTGATTCTATCTGTGGTGCCTTTTATGTATGGGATGATGGCTTTGCCGTTTTCTTGTTCTCTGTCTTGGATTTTAGTGGGGGTTTCTTTTTGGATTAGGTTGGTAATCTTATTTCTTTGGAATTTGTTGGATGTTAGTACGTTAGTGAGAGTGTGTAGTTCGGTTTTTAGGTGTTGTTCATCAGCTAAGCGTTTTGTTCTGGAGATGAGTGTCTTGGCTACGGAGTTGATCTGTGCTGGGTGGTGGTGTGAGAGTGTGTGCAGATAGCGGTTTGTGTGTTTTCTTCTGGTAGATGGTGTGTCCTAGGGAGCCATTGGATTTCCTGTAGACTAAGACATCCAGGATGGGAAGTTGGTTGTTAGCTTCTGTTTCTATGGTGAACTGTATTTTGGGGTGTAGGCTGTTGAGGTGTGAGGAAGTTGTCCAGTTTTTCTTTCCCATGTGGCCAGATTATGAAGGTGTCGTCTACGTATCTGAGCCAGAGTTTGGGTTTGTGATCAGATTTTTCTAGAGCTTGGGTTTCAAAGTGTTCCATGTAGAGGTTAGCAAAGACAGGTGAGAGGGGTGATCCCATGGGTGCTCCTTCTATTTGTTTGTATTTTTGTCCATTATAGATGAAGTATGTGTTGGATAGGCAGTGGTTGGTCAGAACTAGGATGTGCTTGGGGGGGGGTTATATTTGTTTTGGATAGCTGTCAAGGCTTCTTTGATTGGCACTTGGGTGAAGAGGGATATGACATCGAAGCTCATGAGTAGGTCACTGGGCTGTAAGTTTTGTTTCTTTATGATCTCTATGAACTGGAATGAGTTTTTTACATGCGAGTTGATGGATTCTGCATAGGGCTGTAGTTGTTTGGTGAGAAATTTGGCTAGGTTTTGTAGAGGTGAGCCTATGGAGCTGACTATGGGTCTAAGTGGGGTTTCTTCTTTGTGTATCTTGGGGAGACTATAGAGCTTAGGGCATCTGGATGATTTCTCTCTGGGAATGATTCTTTGCTGGATCTCTTTGCTGATGGGGGAGGCTTTTATTTTGGATCTAGTGGTTTTTTCCAGGTAGGTGGTGGGATCTGTGTTTAGGGGTTTGTATGTGGAGTCTTGGAGTAGGTTGGTTAATTTGGTTTGGTAGTCAGATGTGTTCATTACCACCGTGGCGTTTCCCTTGTCTGCTGGTAGGATTGTTGTGCTAGTGTCTTCTTTCAGGTTATATAGTTCTATATAGAACTATGGCTATATAAACATCTTGATTTACGTAGGAAAAACCCTGGCTAAAACCATAATACACATATAGACCTACGAAAAAAGAACAAAATAAATATTTGACCGTTACAGGGAGGAGTCATATGATGAGGGTGTGTGGCTAACTGATGAAGACAAATAAATCAAAAATAGATCTATTTTAGTCTCCCTTAAGTCTTACAGCAGACAGCAAAATGCTGGTTAATGTCTGATAAAGCCTAGAAAATAGTGAATTGGGATTTCACTGAACTATGGCTATATAAACATATTTACGTAGGAAAAACCCTGACTAAAACAATAATACATACATACATACAGTACATACATACATATATATATAATTAATAATATAACCCTAATCCTATGTACACTCATAAACTTACATTAAACAGCTATCTTTCTCTCTGACCAAACTACTTTCCCTACTTCTTATACTCATATATACTAGAGATTCAAAGGAGAGAGTGGGTATTCAATTCATGATAAACCATGGTTGGAATAACTCAGGTTAGTTTAAAACAGAAAGATCCTAGCATACAAGCTATATATTAGTTATCCAAGGTCATTTAAACCACAGCTGTACAATCCCCCTTACTCCCCCAAAAATGACTACTTGGGTCTATTTAAACTTAGTTTAATTGGGCAAATTTGTGCATCATAGGGTAAAACATTTTTAATCAAGGTACTACAAATGAGATAACATACAGAATGCATCCAAAATCCAGGACTCCTGACTCCTGTGGTATTGCGTTTGGCAAATATAAAAATTTTATTAGATAAAAATGATCATAAAGCATTTTATGACAACACAAAACATCATAAAACATTTCTTGTGATCAGCTCCTGATGTTTTACTGTGCTATACAGTTCAACGTGGGCTACTGTCAGGACAGATACATGTCTGTGTATCTCCCTGAATTTTTAAGAACTTTTCAAGTATATTAGAATTCTGGTGCTGTTGAAAGCATTGAGGAATCTGATAAGAAAATATCTTATCAGACAACACAATAACCCAAAGAATCACAAAAGAATACAGGAATAAAGAGCAGTTAACTAGATAAATACTATGGTTTATTAAATGGTAAGGAAAACAGTATAAAATCTATCTTAAAATAAATCGTATCACAAATATCATAGCACTCAATATCAATCACTCCCAATCAATTACCACTGAAGTTTTTAGTAAATTAGTTAAAAATTATTTTAGGATTTGTGATTGCTACAAATTATACATCCTGGGATTACTCTTGAATTCAATAGTTCTTTTATTGTTTGATGCAATAAGGTTCAGGCTTTTCCAATTCAAAGAATCTGTGAACATGGCTAATTCTCTATTTAAGGCCACTTTAAGGGTTTCCACAAGCTGCACTGGCTCCCTATTGGTCTTCGGTCACAATTCAAGGTATTGGTTATTACCTTTAAAGCCCTACATGTCTCAGGACCAGGTTATCTTCGAGACTGCCTTCTGCCGCATAGCAACCAGTAAGATCCCACAGAGTTGGTCTCCTCCGGGCCCAATGTCGGCTGGCAGGCCCGCGAGGGGGGGGGGGGCTTCTCTGTGGCTGCCCCAGCTCTCTGGAACCAGTTACCTCCTGAGGTCCGGACCATCCACACCCTATTGGCCTTCTGAAAAGCGGTGAAGACCTGGCTTTTCCGGCAGGCCTGGGGCTGTTGATCTCGCTCTTGTGATCTGGCGAGATCCGGCCATGAATGGTGTGAATGAGTTTTTAATGTTTTTAATTTTTCAATGTCTTTTTATAATGATTTTTAAAAATGTATTGTGAGCCGCCCTGAGTCTTCGGAGAGGAGCGGCACATAAATTTAATTAATTAAATTAAATTAATTAAAGTATAGGTAGTCCTCAACTTGTGACTACAATTGAGCCCAAAAATTCCATTGCTAAGCAAGGTACTCAAGGGAGTAATAATCCTTTTAATAATCATTTTTGCCATGATTAAGCAAATCACTACAGTTGTTAAATGAAACATGTGGTCATTAAGCAATTATGGCTTCCCCCACTGACTTTACTTGTCAGAAGCTCCCTAGCAAGGTTGCAAATTACAATCCCAGGATCCCAGGATCCTGCCATTATTGTAAATACACGATAGTTGCCAAGCACACAAAGTTTGATCACATGTCTGTGGGGACGCTGCAGCAGTCATAAGTGTGAAAAGTGGCCATGTCACTTTTTTCTGTGCCATTGTAACTTTGAATAGTCATTAAATGAATGGTTGTAAATCTAGGAGTACCTCTACAGCATGGATTAAGTTCCATTTAATGAGATAAAGAGATTTTTAATAACTGGAGTTTTTTTTAGGTTAGCAGGACAGATATACTAAGGATTACATGGAGGAAATACTTTTGTCTGAGGTGATCGGTAATATTGATAATGCACACTAAGTCACGTTTGGGCACTAATCATAATTACAGTACTTATTCTTCAAACCTATACTAATCAAGACAACAGACCACACTTGGCCAGTGAACCAACAAATTTTGTTGGTTGGCATCGCAGTGACCTTTGTGTTCATTGGCCACCTGATACTAACATGTTCCATTTCCCCACCCCATTTTTATTTTAATATTAAAAAAAAACGAGGTAGCCCAATCAGAGTCAAAGATACTATGTGTAAGACAGAGAAAGGTCGAGCCTTCTACATTGCACTGGCATTCCTGAGGGAGTATTTGGCGCCCTGAGCTCTCATTACCTAAAGAAACACCTGCAAAAAAATAACCAAGAGCACTAAAGACCCCACAGTTTAACCATGAGCTACAAATATTGTCTTCTATTGGCACTAGCATTCCTATTTCACCCTCAAAAGCAAACTGCAAAAATACACAGACAAAAAACAGAAACAACACTGATGCTGCAACTGAAGCAGACTTGTTTTCAGTTGCTTCTGCTTGCCATGACTGGATCAGGGAGGCAAAAAGGAAAATCACTTTTTCTACCTAGTTCTGATGTATGCAGTGCCATTAAGTAAAATGATTACAAACCTACAACTATAAAAATAAATGATATGGCTGTCTCCATATCAAACCAAGCATAACTATATCAACATGCATCAGGCAAACCATTTTCTATATTTCACAAGAAAGTTCTTACTCATGGGCATTTATAATTAATTCTGATTACCATAAGATGAACATGTTGAAACCTGTTATATAGTAGCTCAAATTATTTCTCCTCTATGTACTTCAGTTTGCTGACAAAACAGGTCTTAAATAAAAGCCTTCCAACTTAAAGTCCCAATCTGCAGTATATAACCTTATTTTTTCACATTGATTTGACTAAGCGATTAAATGAGTTAATTTACTGCCACATAATAGCATTTAAATTACCTAAGTAGGGAGACTACATTACTTGAATTTCAAAGTTTGCTCTTTATAGCCTAGAAACACACACATAATTGCACACACGTTTGATTTTAGAAATATAGAATTCAGAACTTGCAAAGAAAGTGCTTGTAAAAATAAATGGATTGGCATGTTTAAAAAGTGGAATATCCTTGCATTTTTGCAGAAAGCAATGCTACAGTCTTATACTATACTCAGGTGGCAACTGACTACTGCATCTAGAATATAAAAATATGGACAATCATTAGCTGACAGTGAAAAAAAATACAGGAAACAAAAACTCTTCACTGCTAATTAGTGATTGTCTAGATTTTTGTATTTTACATCTGCTAACATTACTTGAGAAGATCTTTAATTTAGATCAAAGGATTTGGGGTATTTCTTTATTGACCACAGTGAAAGTATACGGAAGGCCTAATTTTATAAAACAGAATGATTTGGGCTGATTCTTCTGTCAGAAGTCATAATGCGAATATACGGTTTACTGCAAGAGGCTTCTTATATTTTGCTGTATCATCATCTGGAATGATAAAAAGAGTATGTGCAGTTATAAACAAGTATGTAGTGTTAGAAAAAATTCAACGTTTGCTGTACCCCAACCGGTGCTGACTTCTCCAGAAAAACAGAAACTTTAAAAGCATGGCTGCTTTGTTTACACAACTTTATCAGCTTAAAAAAAAAAAAAACAATTACGCTTCCCACAAGTTGTTTACAACCCTTCCCGTCAAAACTCACCTGTCAAAACCCCTTGGTGTACTAGTTTGTGCGAACCTACCTATTGGTGTTTGATAAACATGACTTGATTCTTTAGCATTATAAACCCAGTTAATCCCAGTTCAACGTTACTCAAACGATTTGTGCAGTACTGGCCACCAATATCCTGCAGAAAAATATTTTGTTAGTAATGGCTCGAACGAACAAGTTCATCATTCCTGAAACACTTGATTAATAGTTTTCCGGCTGTTTCAGAACGACAAAAACATGCAAAACTCTGAATTACAAACAAATCGATAATCTTGAAAAAAGGATAACTCCTACGCAGCGAAAAGCAACCTTTACGCCAATTTCAGATAACCATTTTAGATAGTTCTGCATTCTGCGCAGTATTGAACTGGGCCCAGGAGAACCGAGCCCACGACCACTGACTGAATCATTGTGCAAAATCCACCTGCAATTCGAAAAAGAGAAATGAAGATACGACGCTCTTTATTTTTATTCTGTGTCAGGTCTCCTTCCGCCAAAGTAGCCTCACTCTTGCAGGTGGTTATATAGTACGATTTCGAATCCTTCCGCCGACCGACCCCCCCCCCCACCTACCCATCATGCTTTGCAACTGCGCATCCTGACAGACGGGGGAGTAGAGTAGACCGACATGGCCGTTTCGCACCTCTTTACCCCTCCCCTCCGAAAATATTAATAATTCTGTCCCTTTTCCCGCCAACGGCTGTTTGTCTCTATAGAAAGCAGCAAAAGGAAACACCGTCCGCGCGCGGCGGAGGGAGGGGGGGCGAAAGAAGCGACGGAGAAGTATAGATCCGGCACTAAGCGAGCGCCGCAGCGGCTGCCGCGGAGTCAGTTGCTGCCTGGTTGCCTGGGCCGGTAAGTGAAGAGGAGGCGCGAGGGAGGGAGGGAGGGAGGGAGGGGGCGCGCGAGTGGTGGCAGTCGGGCGGGGGAGGGGCCGGGGAATTGAGTGGCAGCGGTTGGCTCCGCGCTGCGGCGGCGCTGCCTTCTGGCTGGGACAAGGCGGGAGTGAAGGAAGGGGCGAGGCGGCTTTTCTCATTTCCCTCTCGGGCGCCATTTTGTAGCGCAGCGAACCAGCGAATAAAGAGCGGGGCGGGAAGCGGAATGTGGCGGCGGTGGTGACCGTTTCAGGGCGGTGGTTCTAAGTTTATCGATGCGGCAGGAGAGACCGTCCTTGGAAGCATCTGGAGCGCTGTGAACGCGACGCCTTGGCGGCGCCGCCATCGGCGGGAGGTGAGTGGTGGCCTACTCCTCCTCTTCCCGCGCGAGGCGCCGCCGACTCCAGCCTTAACGAGAGACCGCCGGAAAGAACGAAGAAGAGATTGCGAAGGCCGTCCAGTGTGCATCGGGAGGTTCGGGGCCCCGAGCCCCTTGCGGCAGCCCTTCGCGGGCTCCGACGTCGCCACGCCTGTAGCATCTTCTTTGTCGGCCGCCCCCGCCCGCGTTTGCTGCGATCCTCCCGAAGGCCCATTTTAGACAGGCGACCTTTATTTTCGGGAAGATCCTGTTTTGTTTACCTAGACGGCCATAAGGCGAGGAGGATTTAAAGCGGTTCTTCTTACATTCTTCGCTTGCAGATCGGTTCCAAACGTGCGGTTTTTTTTTTTTTATTTTTATAATTCTAGTCTGAGAAGCTTGAAATATAGATATAAGGTCACGTGTCTGCGTGTTCGTCTAAAAATTATATACACGGGACTGTCCAAATATTTTGAGTAAATGGGTTGAACTGGGCTGCGGATCACATGCTCATATTTTTAAGGCCTTAGCTTGCAAAATGGTTTTAAGTTTGTCAATATTTTATGTCTTAACAATTCTTTTCAATAAAAAAAATAGGATAGGTTATGTTGCTATATTTTATTACGAAGTTAACAGTGATTTTGGAGGAAAACATAGTTAGATTTACTCTTAAAGCCTTAAACTGACCGTAGATTTCATTATTTTTACATCCTCTGCTGAACTGTTGGTATTTTACTTGGCAGTTTTGCCACTGTGCAGACAAAAGTTGTATAAAACCTAAGATGTGATTGATTATTTTCCACATAGCAAATGACTCTTCAAAATGATTTCCTCCTATGTCAAATTATAAATAATCTGTTTCTGCATATCCAGTAATTGGTAGAAATGGGAATTGTAGCTCAATGCACTTGCAGAAGACCCAAGTTGGGGAAGAACCTGTTCATTCTACAGGTTGCTTAGAAAGAACTATCATCATTGATGTGCTACATTGCAATGAATATGTTACATTCAGTGGTGATCCAGTTGGCTATGCCTGCCCATATAAAAATTAGTTGCATGTAGAAAGTTATTTATTGTATTGACCAAGCTCTTCACATGTAGAGTTAAAATGTTGATGGTGCCTCTGCTCAGACTACAAATCACAATGTACTAAGGGCAAGATTGCATTTTTTCAGATTATACAGCCAGGTTTATATGAGATGAAGTATTTGTACAACTGTTTATGTTGATAATGTTTTAACCATAGTTGCTATATCATCTATCTCAGTCCAGTGATTATTTTGAAGAGAGGAAAAATATTTTTCACTAAAATAAATTTTTTATTTTATTTAATAAAGATGTTGAGAAAAACATTTCATCTTAAATTGAAATTGGCTAGCTCTACTGAATATTTATTCAGCAGAGTTTACTATAGCATAGTAATGTCTAACAATACATATTCTATTTTTTTTATTATACTCTTACATTTTTGGGGCTGTTATAGGAAAAACTTTGGGGTCAGATCATGTTCTTAATTTTAGGGTTGTACATAAGAGATGAAGGCTGTATGCAGAACAATATCTCAAGTCCCTAAATCTGTTCCAAATACATCTTAGCATGCAAAGAGAAGATAATTATTTTAGAATTAGAAGTCATCTAATATAAAAATGGATATTTATTTGCAGTAGAAAAAAGAAAATTTCAATTCAGCTACTGAAAATAACAGATTTACACAAAGTAGTTTGTTATTGTAATTAGTTTGAAACAAATTATAGAAAGTCTGGGTTAATCAAATTTTATGGTACAATAAAAAAAGTGAACTGATCCTTATGAGGGAAACCCCTTAAAAATAGTCAGAATTCAGTAATTGGATGGAAAACTACAAGAGAGTAGACTGGGAAGTCAAAACATCCTGTGAGAAAGTAAGCCAGTTCTGTAGTGTTGCAAAAAAACCCCTACACTGATTTGTCCAGGAATTGAGACTTATCATTCAGAGGTACTTACTGCTTTCTTATAAGGTTCCATAAAATTGTGATTTGGGGTGTTTTTGTTTTTTGCAATTTATAAAAATTTAATAAAAATATTATTAAATTATCTTTCCTGATAATTTAAGTAAAGGATTATTTATAGGGTCCTCATTGAATTTATATGGTGTTATATAAAACAACAGAACTGTTAATTGCTGCATGCTTGTTGCCATTCTTTCATCTTTGCACTGGTCCTGTGAAATAGATCAGCCTGAAAATTATTGACTGCCTCATCTTGTAAAACTAAAGTTTCAGAGTTCTGGTCTGATGCTGATCATTACAACTATCAGTGTTCTAAAACTTTGAGCAAATACTATATATTTATTTAAAACATATTTACCCATCTTATAAACAATAGGGACAACTTTCTACTAGTTGTGGAAAACGTTAGCTTTGAATTACCTATGCGGTGCAGAAAAATAGTAATATTTTAAAGTCAATAAATATGATCCTGGATTGATTACTTCCTGAAATGGCAAAAACCATAAATCTAGTAAAACAGAGTTATCTGTAACTGGATGAATCTGTATTACACAAGCAGTAGGAGTTTATTCATGCACTCAGAAATTATTTAAATGTTCATTATTGTTGAAAATAAATGTCTTAATTATCCACAAAATGAACATATTTTTATAATATAGAGTTCAATAGGGTACATTTCTCACTGATACATTTCTCAAGAGTTACAACGTGGTACATTGTTGAAACAAAAGTTTTTACTATTTTCCAAAGCTATTATAAAAATGTATTAGATATACTCAAACTGATTGGAACTTTTGTACTTTAAGGTGTGTGCACATTTAGTTACACTTGTTAGAGGGTAAAATGGTAATAGTGTTATTTCTTCTACAGAGTTCACAATGACTAATGAAGAACCACTTCCAAAGAAGGTAATCTGGAAACATGTATTTTACTATTACTTTTCCATGTTGATGCTAGATGAAATAATTCAATGAAATTATTTTTGTGCAGGCCCGTCTCAGTGAAACAGACTTCAAGGTTCTACCTAGAGAGGAATTGATCTTAAGGTAAAATGATGGTCTATCTCATAATAGCAAAAATTCATTTCTCATATCTTACATAGAATAATTTGGATCTTCACAATAACTTATTGAATAAGAAGGACTAATGAAGAACCATTTTTGCATATGAAAATGTTAAAAAAGTTTAAGCTAAATCAGACATTAAAGGCTTAAGATACCAAATTTTGTAGTTTGTGATTTACTGAGATTCAAAATAAATTTCAGAAAAATGAAAAGTAAGTATCCCATTATTTATAGGCAGTCCTTGACTTATGGTCACAATTGAAACCAGAATCTTTGATTAGTGAGTAAATTGGTCGTTAAGCGAGATGTCATGTGGCTGTTTTGCTTAATGACAGTACTCCTGGTTGTGGTCATTGAGCGATCTCTCGGGTGGAGAGAAATAGCTGCCTGCCGAAGGGAGATGACCTCATATGGGGTCAAAATCTTCCAGTGGGCAGTACTTTCACTGTCAAAACAGCTGCCCAATAGAGGGACTTTCCCCACAAGGGTTTGAATCTGTCTGATGGGCAGCCCTTTCACTCTCAGAGACTGGTTGAGAAAGATGTTTGCAACCAACTCCCAAAGATGAGGATATTCTCTGATTTCTGGGTCTGGCTGCAAATGCGCCATGCTGCAAATGCTCTGTGCTGAAACCCTGTTTGGATCTCAGGGCAGACCTTTTTTAGCCCTCCCCAAGAAACCAGAGGGAGTTATTTTAGCAGGTGGTTGACTTTCTGGGCAAGCTATCACAGAAGTTTGCAAATGGTGATCAAATGGTTGTGAGGTGCTTGGCAACCCATTGGAAATGAACGGGTTGCCAAGAGCCCAGATTGCAAACATGTGACCACAGGGGTATTATAATGACCATAACGTCAGGTACAGCTCATAAATCCCTTTGCTCAGCACTATCATAATTTTGAATGGTTGCTGAATGGATAGTCATTAAGCAAGAATTACCTGCAGTTTGATCCAGACCTCTGTTTTGATCATAAGTGGCCCCTAGCTGTTTCTCTTAAAAAAAAAAAAAAATCTGTTCATAGGATTCAATTTGGAAGAGGTCCTTTGAAATGTGGATTCACAAATTAGGATCTTTCTGCAATTTATTAAAGCAACTATGTTTTATGAGTTTGTACAATTGCTGCGGGGACGCTTTTGAAGTACAGACCTAAAAATGAGCATATTTTGGAGCACCTCTTCTAAATCAAATATGAAGTGCTGCATAATTCTGGTTAATATTTGAATTGAAGGACTGTCAGGATAGCTAAGAGCTATTGCTAGATGAAGACTTTGAAAAAGACAACTTGGAAGAAGACAGTGACAAGTCACTTGCTAAAGAACACTATGTGGAAGTGTCTATAAAGTCATTAGGACAGAAGCATTACTCAATCAAATCTTTACCTATGTAATGGATATAGAGTCCACGTATTGCACTAGGCTATTGTTTTTATTAATTTGGATTTTCATAATACATAATGTTTTATACATAATAATTTGGAAAGCACAGTGATTAGATTTGCACATTGCACTCAGTCAAAAGTGATTAATGCAGGTGTAGGAATCTTTTTTTTTCATATCTGAAATTAGTTTAAAGGTATGATTATGTACATGTAATATATATTTGGGATGGGTTAAACAAGCATGGGGAAAATCTCAATTCAGTTTTCAATTTAGTGACCTTGAGTCAGTTGTTTATAGCAGCATCCCCAACCTTTTTGGCACAAGAGACCAATTTTGCAGAAGACAATTTTTCCATTGGGGGGGGGATGGTTTTGGTTTTGTTTGCTCATCACTTAACTCCAGCTGTGTGGCCCCAGTTCCTGGCAGGCCATGGACCAGTCGGCGGTTGGGGACCCCTGTTTTATAGAATTACTTTAGCCCCATTTTATGCCCTAATACCGGTAGGAGATTAAAAGCAGTTAACAATTTCACTGAGCCATTGAAATCTATTAAATATAATTTGCAAGGATAGAAAAATATGAGGAGATAAGGCAAATGATTTTGTTATACGTTATATTTATCTTTTGATTTTCAGTTAGGTCTTCATTTTACTTTTATTTTCTTATTGCTTTTCTGCATTTTACATTATGTTGCTTATTCCCTGGAAAAGAATAGTGTGGTGGGTTATGTATGTATTTTAAAAAGTAATCAAAATAGCCAGAGATGAAAATACTGAAAAAGATAAAAAATTATTAAGGAAAGTTAACTGTAAACCTGTTCAAACAATATTGCCTCTACCTTTGTTCACACATAAAATAATTAGGTAATTTGTTTTTGACTTAAGATGATGTGCAAATCCACCAAAAGAAAGGATTATTTTTGAAAGCAGACTACAATTTGAAGTAGGGGCTTCTGGGTGTATGTTTCCTATAGCTGCTAAAGGTGTTCTTAGGTGTTAAACTATACATATCTTATCATGATAATTAAAGTATTTAATGAAAGCTGTAAGATAGGTTTAATCGTATGCTGCTATTTTTTTAATCATATATGCAATTCAGAAATGTTTTTCTTTCTTTGTTAGATGGAAGCAATATGAAGCATATGTGCAAGCTCTTGAGGGCAAATACACTGATCTAAACTGTAAGTTGAAAATCAGCTGAATATATAATTAGACCCTGCCATATTCTTTGAAAAATAGAATTTAAAAAATTGAGTTTTTGGGAGGTGAATTATTGGACCACATACGGACAAAGCAACTAAAATATATATTCCTATAGTATATACATTTTTAAGTAAGTTTGAACCTATTAATTCACAAATTGGGAACTTAATATTTATCATTTGCTTGAGGAAGATTATATATTAATGCCATCAGGCTAGTCCTCCTATTGAAGTAAATTGTAGTAAGTTGTTTTTATCTGATCTCTATCATTCAAAGTAATTGGTTAATAGTTTTTCCTAAAACTAATTTAGAATCATACACAATTAAAAGGATCACTGATTAGAAGTTAATACCTGAACTACCTCCTTTCTTATCTTTTGTGCAAGCTTTTTAAAAAACTTACTGGGAAAGGAGATAAAGTATCTAGCATAAAACTGATACAGGCAGTCCTCGCTTAACAACCATTTGTTTAGTGAGTGGCTGTTCAAAGCTATGACAGTGCTGAAACAAGTGACTTAAGCAAAGGTCCTTGTATTTAGAACCATTGTAACATCTTTGCAGTCACTTTATTGTGATTCCAGTGCTTGGCAACTGTTACACATTTATAAATCATGTCATCCTCTGGTCACGTGATCATTTGTGACCTTCCCAGCTAGCTTCTGACAGGCATAGTCAATGTGGGACTGGCGGTAGGTCACAAATTGTAGGCACTTGATGTCTCACTTAACCATCACAGGTGATTCGCTTAATGTCCGACAAAAAAAAGGTTGCAAAATCAGGTGTGGTCATGTGATGCATAACTTAATGACTGCACTGCTTTATTATAATTTTTTTGTTCAGATTGTGGTTATAAATTGAGGACTACCTGTACTCAATCTCTAATGATTAAAATTTATACACTGTCTGAATCAATAATTTGTAATATGAAATGATGGAAGGCTTTCCCTTGGGCATATACATTAGGCTAGATATTTTTTCTGTAATATTGTTCAGTTCACCAGTATGTAAAAAACAAAACCCAAACCATGTTACTCTGAATACATTTATTAAAGCAGGGCTTTGTCAATTACAGATATTGGCATATTTTCTCAGTTGACATGTGATAGATGTGTACATAGTAGTTCACATAATTGATCTGATTTTACCAATTGTTTTGTGATAATTGTTAAATGAAACTGTTATACATAGCATATTTTTAAATTTCATTATTTTATTAGTTAAAACTTTTTTTGGATTATCCCTTTTGGATAGTCATTTCCTTATAATGTATCCATGAAAGCACTACCTGCTTGATAGTACATTTTAAATGTGCTGTAATACATGTATTTTCATTAAACCTGATTTATATTTCACTTTCTAATTCTGAAATTGATATGGGGCAACTTTTATATTACTACTTGGCTCCTATATGGTTTTTATTGGACGAGAGCAGTGATATGTTATTCTTGTATAGACAAACTTAATATGTTAACAATAAATAAGATAATCTAATTATTAAATAGTCTTTAGGGCATCAACAGACTTTAGGATTATGTTTTCTTCCTTTGGATAGTCAAGCTTGTTTACTTCTGATTTAACGACAATCAACAAGAAACCTTCATAGAATAATGAGCTTGTTAAGATGTGGTATATCTTTGGGATTTGAGTTTAGATTATTTTAAGTTACTCATTCTTGTCCCAGAACTATCCCTTTAGGGAGAAAACATTGGCTTCACCTGTGCCCTGGGATTAATACTGGAAACAATAATTAGGGACGGATTGTGTTTGTAGCCATGCAATGCCTCTAGAGTTTGACAAATTACTATTTTATGTACCAAAGAAAGTTGCTTCCCTTTCCTTAATATGAATCTGTTGATAAAATTCAAAGTAAAATGCAAATAGAAGAAAATTCTGGCAGCATTTGTTATTGATGCTTTTGTGCTTCATGTAGAACTGATAGGTGCAAATGAGCAGATTGTAGTTTGTAGCTCTTCACATTTTCATACAACAGATATGTCCAACCTCTTGGCTTGTCCTGGGTTGCACTGAGTGAAGAGGAATTGTCCTGGGCCATATAAAGAATATATAGTTGATGTATATAAATGCACGTATTAATGTTAAAAATTAACGACCCTGTATATTTGTAAGCTCCCAGAAGCTGTTTTTTTCCATGGTTGTAAAAGATTACCATCATACATTTGCAGGTGATTTTAGGACATTAGGACTGAAGAGGATTATGACAGAGTCATATAGCTTGTATGATAACACTGTCATGCCATTACTATTTTCTGTTCTTTTGTGAACTGTTAAAAGACCAGTAGAAAATAGTCATAGAGTGAATTCTGTTGTGGTGTTATCTGTGTTCTCATAGAAGCTATATCTTTCTTTCTTACGTTTCCTTCCAAAAGGGAATGTATTTATGAATCACATTATTTTGTCTTTGTTTTGTTTAGATACCATTTTTATCTTATTGTTTATCTTTTTATCTTACTATTTTGAAGGTTTCTGGTAATAAATCTTGTAATTTCTTCCCTTTTTTACACTAGCCAATGATGTAACAGGATTGAGAGAATCCGAAGAAAAACTGAAGCAACAACAACAAGAATCTGCTCGAAGGGAAAATATCTTGGTGATGCGACTAGCAACTAAAGAACAAGAAATGCAAGAGTGTACTGTAAGTGAAATTAATCAAATCATTTGAGTTTGTCTCTGTTGAAATCTATTGATTTGCTTTTGAATGCTTTAGACAGAATTCTATTCATTAGTTGTGCTAATTATTCCTACTATTTAGCATGGTTTGAAATTTTATATTTTTATCAAAAGCCTGTAATAGTGATGTAAAATATATTGACGTATTACTAATTTTTCAGAGTTGTGAGCTACTATAGTTCAATAGCAACCTTTAATATAGATGATAATGATTACAAAACATATTCAATACAGAGATTAGATAGATCACTAACATTAGAGAACCTGTAAATAAAAACCACTAATTTGTATTACACAATTCTGTTGCAATGTTATATAAATCTAAAACTAAAGCTTCTTTTTTGTTTGAGATGGTAATGTGATTGTGTGCAGCTCTGAATCTCAAGTCCTTGAAGTCACCCCCAACCACACTACTAAAATTTGATAGCAAATTTTATCCATAATCCATGATAATATTACACACATGTATGCCCAGCTCTCTATTGCATTTCATATATTTGTTGAGCATCCTTTCACATTTCACAATAGATGCTTATAAAACTTGTATTCAGTACAAGTGAGCTTGCAGTCACATTTTTGTTGCAACTGTATCATACTAGATGAATATAGCTCATTTTTGTTTATAGAATTATCTGAAATTATCTATGTTTAAGTGAAAGTTCTTGATGGTTTTAGTTGGTTAGAATAAAACCTTACTGATTGCTTAATGCATCTGGTAGATTGTGGTCTGTGTGTGTCTTTTGTACCTTAATTATTGTTCTCTCAAAACTATAAAATTGAAATTCAGCAGCAAAATGGCCAATTTGTAGTGTGCGCGCGCTTGCGCTCAAAAATAATGGTGGAAAGTGGAGTGGGACACTTCCTAGCTTTGTATCCCCTCACCTTCATTGCTGAAATTTTATCACTGAATTTTAGCAGTATACTTGTTTTTGGTAAGAGTTGGGTAATTTTTAAGAATGGAAATGGAACAGCTTTCCTGAAGAGGCTTCCCATGCTCACCATAAACTACTGTCCTCAAACCCAGGAAAAGTTGAAAAAGTTATTCTAGCCGTTTTTGATATCATCAACTTTTCAGTGATACCACATGCAACCCTCTAGCTTACTTGGATATTCCCAAAACTGGACAAATGAAAGTATATTATTAAATCCACTGAAGTTTCTTGTGGTCATCTCTTACTTACTCTTTAATTCCCTTGAGTTTCCAATCCTCAGCAACCCTAACGTTGAGAATTTGTGATTTTTGAGGACAAAATTTATTGTATTAGTATGATTCTCTAAACATTGTATTTTCACTATAATAGCTTACTGAATAATAAATAGTGTATATACTGGAATAAGTGTAATTGGAACTCACCATTACAGTAATATTTATTCTGCCACACTAAAATCAAAGCTTACCTTTCTTTCCTCGCAATATGTAAGAATTAGGTTTTTAAGATTATGAGATGTTGCCACCACTAAAAACTAAACTTCATAAGACTAAATTGCTCAGTTTAAAAATTGTTTAAATGTTAATATTTATTTATAAATCTTATTTTATAAAATTACAAATAATTATAAATATTTTATAAAATGTAAAATAGTATATAAATAAAATGGAAACATTACCATCATACAATCTCTGCCCCTCTTGCATATGTGTTAAAAGTGCATGTACATGCAGAAAGAGGGGAGCTGTATTGCAGTGCCATTTCTTAAAATTTGTGATCAGTGCATGCATGGTTGTATGAATTGTTATGGTGTTTACAGCACCCTATATAAATTCTGTCATATAATTTCAGAGTTCATTTTTATTTTCTATTAATATCAATAAAAAGAAAGGATTATTTTTCAGATTATGTGGACCTATGATAGTATATATTGACTTAATATTTCTTTCCTTCATGCAGAATCAGATACAGTACCTCAAGCAAGTCCAGCAACCAAGTGTTGCTCAACTGAGATCAACAATGGTGGACCCAGCCATCAACTTGTTTTTCCTAAAAATGAAAGGTGAACTGGAACAGACTAAAGACAAACTGGAACAAGCCCAAAATGAACTGAGTGCCTGGAAATTTACACCTGATAGGTAAACAAAACATACTCCCCAGTCAAGACTTCCCTGACAGAGAATGCTTTGGTGGGACAACCACGTACTCGTTTCCACACCAAGACTCAGACGTTTTGAGCCAAAAGCTACATTTTATTCTGTCCAGCTTGTATTGCTTAATGTAAAACTTACCAGATGAACCTTGTGTTTCAGCTTTTCCCCCCCTTTGCTTCAGAGGCCTGACAGCGTCGGACTGTTCTGAAGAAGTGGCCACCACAGAAAATGTGTACTTTCTAGAACATGTAGACACTTGCAAAGTGGTTCTGTTTGAAGAAAATGAGGGAGAAGCAGAAGTCTAAAGTCTGTGGCACACTATGTCTACAGACAAATTGGAGGAGAACCTAGAGATTTTAAATCATGAATTGATCATATCAAATTCCAGTAAAACATATAAGTGGAATGTGCTTCGCTCTTAATCCTAAACCTAGTGATGTAGAGACTGATTAAGTCAGTTTTGCCATTAAGACTGTGGACTTCCTCCTTGTTCACTGAACTGCTGGGTCAAAACTCAAATGAGGTGAATTTTGTTTAAATCACATTTTTTGCTAATCAGCTGTGAGAACATACACACACTCAAGTGTTGGTTTGCTTAGCATTTGGGCTTTATAGGAATTCAGTGAAACTTGTCATGGTTTGGATTAACGAATTATTCTGTGGATGGCTGGTAAAATGTAAATTCCTAAATCTAGTGCTGTACAAACAGATGCAATTTAATTACCAATTTTTATATTGTTGAACAGTTGTATACATGTGAATCTCAACTAGAATATATAAGCAAAAACTAGTTGCGATTCCTATCCTATCCTTGACAGTATAAAATTGCCATATATATATTATTATCCTGAGAAAATATATGCAAACTATGCAAGGCATACCAGAGTCGGTTGCCTAGCTAGCATGATGCATTTGTATATTTAGATTTATATAAAGCTGCACTTAAACTGCTTTAAAATAGGTAATGTCAAATAATTGAGAGAGACAGCTGGCTGAACCACTGTACGAAGCTTCTGTGAAATATGAACATAAAAGAATGGAGAACAGGCTGCTACCATGTTTTATCCTGTTCTCTGAAAGAAAGATAATGTCAAAGCTTATTGCATACATCCCATCGGTTTACAACAGTTCAAAATCATTGGTACTGTCTGGCGCCATGACATGTCTAAGTGATTTCTAGGAATAGTTTTATCGGACATTTCAGTATTCTCAAGATTACAGTGGAAAGGCTTCTAAAATTTCTTGCTTTGTCTTAATATTTGTATAGTCTTCTCTAGTAGGTTGATTGAAAATATCTCAACTGGACATAATATAATAATTCCAGCATTCCACATTCAGTAATTAATCTAAAACAACCATTTTATGAAATGCATATACCTGTGATAAAATTATTTCAACATAAAAATGTGATAGTATACAAATCATGGGTATTTGATCAAAAGGGAAAAACATTCACACTAATTCAGGCTTTTGGAGATCATCTTGGTGGGATGGTATGGAAGATCTTTTAAAGGTCTATCAACAGAACTGAGGTAAGATTTCTGCAGAAAAAAGTATCCTAATATGTTACACTTGTCTTTGTAAAACTTGTTGAATGTATAATCAGAAAACCATTCTTCATAGGTATGTTTTAATTGTGTCATACAAATTGCCTGTGAATTCCCAACTTGATCAGATAATATTTAGAAAGATAGTGTTTAGTTTCTATATATATCCAGTTTGTTTGGATTTAAAATAGGCACCTGCCATTTAAAAAATGGTTTCAGAAAAGGACTAATTTGTAGTCTTAATTCAATCTTCGATATGCACATAATCAGATTAATAGATTAATCAGAAGATAAATGTGAAATTGGTACTTTTAAGTACTCAATTATACTTTCCTTTATTGTTGTTTCTATAAAATTGTAAGACTGTGTTCCTTAAGCTGTTGGCTACCAGGTGTTTTGAACTGCAATCCTCAATACCCCTAGCTACCATATATCAGAGATAGAAACAAGTTTCTTGAAAATTTAGAAACAAAAAACTCAAGAGGCTCCCAGATTGAAAGCGTTTGGTTCAAGAGATGAGTGTTAATTTATTGTTTTTAAAATATTTTCCTTAAGTTGTTTGTCTTATGTGTTCTGCCATAATTTTCTTCTGATCTTATGCTTCAAAATGGTAGTGTATTTTTCTACACTGTGAAAGTGATTCTGAAGTACTAAGGAAAGAATATTCTTGTATTTCCGTATAATATTTTGTGGATCCTATGTCTTTGCAAGTTTGTGCTCAAAATCTTACCTTTTTTCAACAGTGTTTTAAGAATTGTATTGCATTGCCCTTGTTTACAGGCTTTTGAACTGCAGCAAGAGAAAATCATATTCACAGTATGAACATGAATAGGAATAAGATACAATATGGGTGTTTCATTAGATAACAATATGTTTTAAAATTATATTCGTTTAGTTTTTGACATTTTTAAGATTTTCTTGGCGTCTTCCAGATGCTTTGGACAACGTGAAACTGTATTGCCTACATTAATTAATGTGTTTGTTTTTTGCTTATCTTAGTCATTTATAAATTAACATATAAATTAATATACATAAAATCTAGTTCAAATTACAAGAGTTAGAATGTTGCCCTAAGTTTTTAAAAAAAACTCTTTAAAATGTTATTCAGATTCTAAATATTCAGCGTTTATGTATTTTATTAGTGGTAAATCTATTGTAGCCAGATTTCTTATAGGCAATCAGGATCCAAAGAATCATCCACTTAATTACAGGAAATTAGGGTTGGGATATGTCTTTTTCTATTAACCTTCATAAAATGCTGCTTTTTAAAGAGTGTTTACTATTCAATGAAGGTTGTTATTAAAAAAAATCTAAGGCATATTTGAAATCTTGACATATCTAAAATAGCTTTGTGGCAACTAGCCAAATTTTGGGTTCACTTACTTCATCCAAGTTGTTTATGTATGAGAAACAAACAAAAAAGCTAGATATGCTGTAATATGTAATATACATATTTTTGGAGGCCAGGATTCACAATGGGTTCCACACATGTACAATATATGCACTGTTGGGCATTATGCTATATTTATAGTTTTCCTGTAGAAAAATAATTTATGTAGGAAACTATTTTGTACGATACCTTTGTGTCAGTCTACTAGACAGTACTGTCGAATGCGTCAGTTTTTTTCCAATCAGACAAAAAGCGGGATAATTTAATAATCCTGCATTGGGTTACAATTTTGAAACAAGTACTTACTAGATTTGTTTTTAAAAAATCCAAAGGAAAAATGCTGAAATCAGCTTTCTTAGGTGATGTGATCAAAACTTCAAATATATTTGCTAAGCTCAGAAAATAGGCATGATATTGCAAAGTATAACTTCCTAACATTGAAAAAACCTAAATTGGATACATGTACCCATGTGTTTTCTTTTGGGATTTTAATTCTAGCAGTCTGTTAAGCCACGTTTCTCTTTCAAAGTGATATGTGTAAGTTATCTTCCAATAGTTATAATGTGCTTATTATGTTGAAAAGGTGCTTTATTGCATTATTAAGCCTTTTAGGATAGGTATTTTGCCTTCCAATGGTGCTTTTGGCCAGATTATAATTTAATAATTTTTATTTATATTGAATCATACCATTGGTTTACCAGCTCAGTTTTTAAAATTAGTTTAAATCTAAATTAATTTTGCAAATGTTTGCTGCTTTACTACTAAGCTGTCACTGCTTTATAGAGTTTTTTAAATATATGTAATAAACTAATAGTTTTGTCAAATAGAAATAGTTCTAAGTTCCGATACCACAATTCAAGAAGGATGTTGACAGATGTATACTATGAAGGATAAAGTTGATAAGTAATATCAAAGTTCCATGAGGACAAACCTTTTAGCTTAAAAAAGCAATGTAAAACATGTTATTTTTCCATGTTTGAAGGACTTTTATATAGGTCACATTATCAGTTACTCTAGAGCCATGATGGCAAACTTATGGCACACATGCCAGAGGTGGCACGCAGAGCCCTCTGCTGGCACGCGCGCTGTCGCCCCAGGTCAGATCTCTGGCGTTTCTTTTGTAAGCATCTGTTTCCCTGCAAAGGATGAAACAGAAGCTCATGAAAGAAAAAGATCTAACCTCTTGCCGCACTGCCTGTGTTGGGATGCCCTGCCTTCTGCCGGCCAGCTGGTCTTTGGGTCTCTGCTGCTCATGTGTGCGATTGTGCACGCACACCTTTCAATTTGGCCATGTGCGTGCTCGCAGGTTGGGCACTCGGTGTCTAAAAGGTTCGCCATCATTGCTCTAAAAGTTTAGGCTTGAACCAAACAAGTTCAAATAATAATCCAAGAAAGATTTTAAACATTAGAAAAAAACTTCCTGGTTATATAAAATGTTAAGCTCTGAAAGGTACATTACTCTTAGTTGTTTTAGGTGAGAAGTTAGATATTTATAGGAAAGGATTTCCTGGCAAAAAAAGAGCAAGCAATGAATTATAACTAAAGCAGCAAGTAACTAAATTGGTCTAGGGGCAGCATTTAACTTGTATACTATTGGCAGAGATTATGTCTGCATTTAGCAAGTTTATTACAACTTTCATATTGGTCTTACACTAGCCTACTGCAGTGTGACTGTCTATTCCTAGATAGCTGACAGGCATGTAGGTAGATGCTGCTTCTTCTGTTAGCATAGGCTGGTTACACAAAGTAGCAAATAGCTCAGTGTATATAAAAGGAAGGTGCAGAAGAGCTTTTAATTAATTTATTTATTCAATTTGTATGCCGCCCCTCTCCGAAGACCCAGGGCGGCTCACAGTACACTCAAAAAATCACTATAAAAACACTTAAAAATTAAAAACCTTAAAGACATTAAAACCCATTCAAAGCTTTACTTTGCCAGGAACACTTCTTGTACTTGCTTGACACTGGAGCAGAATACCTGGCCAGGTCAATAGGAGACAGATGAAATCTTCAAACTTTCTTTTTGGTGATTCCAAATTTGTGTAAATTCAAAGATATGGAGTTAAACTTACAGACATGACTAAGCTTTTCATTACGTAAATCCATTTTTTTCCTGTTCCTAGAAACCAAAAATTGAATGTTGCTATTTTCATCATTTTTGCCCATATTTTCTTAGAGTCGTTTCTACTGAAATTGCCTAGTCAGACAATAAAAGCAATAGATACCTTTTGATCATAATTATAGTTGCTTATTGTAGATACTTGCCTTTCAGCTTGGCCATGTGGGGCCAGAAGACCAATAAAAAATGTTCAATGGCAACTGGCAGCAAGATACTATAGAAAGATGTGTTACAGAAATAGTGCTCCCAGTGGCAGCTTTTATCAAGGGAGATGAAAGAAAATTGTCTTCATTTTATGATAGATGGCTCTTTCCTTTACAGCCAAACAGGCAAAAAGTTAATGGCGAAGTGTCGAATGCTTATCCAGGAGAATCAAGAGCTTGGAAGGCAACTGTCCCAAGGACGTATTGCACAACTTGAGGCAGAGTTGGCTTTACAGAAGAAATATAGTGAGGAGCTTAAAAGCAGTCAGGATGGTAAGGGATTTTTAAAAAAGAAAATAGAGAATTGTACTGTGTGTGTGTAAGCTTCAAAAGTCAAACATTGTGGTATTACATTACTATGGAACACCTTTAAAATGTTCTGGAAGGAATTTCAAACTCATAAAACTTGTTACAGTTACCAGCACAACTAAATGGTAATGGTGAGAATTAAGCATGAATTTTGCACACAATTAACTATATGTTTAATTTTAACTTGTATGATTATATCCTTTGCAAAAGTTTTCTTTTCCACTGAGCAAAATCATAATACAAACTAAGCATGTTGTGGTTATTCTATAGTGTTTTGATTATTATTATTTTGAAAAGCAGAAGTCCTAGTGGTGGTACATAAATGCTTAGTCTTTAAGGTATCCTCTTCTAGTTTCTTACTGTAAAGTTATTTCAGTGCCTTAGAAGACAGTTACAGAAAGTTAGCACTTAATTTAAAATGAATTTGGCAGTTTTCTAGTGTTGCTTCCATGTAAATGTGTGGTTGAAGACTATTTTGTGTAATATTATCTTTGTTTTGTTTCTTAGCCATTGGAAACTTGTTTTTAAATCTTCACTAAGTAATAGGCTATTGCAGCTAGCAAACTTTGATTTAATTCTTAATAAAAATTATTTTGAATGCGTTTTTGAAATTTAGTTATATGAATGCTTTATCTAAGATACAAGTAAACAAATGAAACTGCACTAGAAATGGTGTTTTTTTCCCTATATGAGATACAAAAGGAAGATAATCAGTGCTGTTTCAATGAGCATAATTTCAAAATATAATTATCAGATGCAGTTACCATAGATTTTAAGTCTAATGCCAGTCTCCACATTGCTGTTTTATCTTTTGGGGTCTTCAGAAGCCATAGCTCAACTTAGTTAAATTGGTTAGTTATTAAATTGTAATACACTACAAACTTTAAAAATCTTTTTAAAAAGATTTTTGTAACAGACAGCTTTTGCTGTCCTGTTACAATGTGCTCAAAGATTTCTATGCTATAATTATTACTTGGGTCTAATACTTGCTAAATGCCACATAGAACTTATACATCATTTAATTAACATTTAAATTAAATGTTGTACTGTATGTCATTATAGTAAAGAGCAACTGCAATGTGATTCTATCCAGATCAATTAGATTGTGTTACCTAAGAATCCTGGGAATTAAAAAAAAATACATGGAAGGAACTGTGTAGGAGATGGTTGATAGATAGGCTAGAATTTATAAAAAAGAAAATATGTGGACATTACATTTCTTGCAGAAAGGTAGAAAATACCTTGCTACTAATATCAAGTTCTTTTATTTGTGTACAGTAAGCAAATCTTATTTATGAACATTATCAGTGCATACAATTTGAATTCAGTACTAGTTTTTATGTTAGGATTTGTAGATCGGTTTTGGCCAGAAAAGATTTAATTGCTTAACTCAAAGTAATTAGAAGCAGCAAGGTATATGTAACCATTTAGATAAGCAGATCCACCACTGGGACTTTTGCATATTAGTTGACCGTTTTACAAGTGTATTTTTCATGTATTTCCTTTATGCTGAATTTAGGCATAATTGCAAAAATCTGTTTATGAGCTTTACCAAAGCTTTAAACAAACAAAAAGGATTATGATGGAAATTAAAATAGGGATTAAAATTTACATTTTAAAGGTATTCTGTTGGACTTTGTGTTGCTCACGTGTGTGTATGCATGCACAGAAAATAGATTCTAAATTTATATTAAATTTATTTTTTTAAAGGGCTACGATGGAATATGTTTAAGATCAAGTAAGGTATTAATATATGAAACTGAGCATGTTGTTTGGTTATACCCAGTTTGAAGAGACAGATCCTACTTATTAAGTATATGCTCTAAATTATTTTTCTTCATATAGAACTGAATGATTTCATCATCCAGCTTGATGAGGAAGTAGAAGGTATGCAGAGTACCATTCTAGTTCTACAGCAGCAATTGAAAGAGACTCGCCAACAATTGGTTCAGTATCAGCAGCAGCAGTTACAAGCTTCAACTCCAGGTACCAGTCGGACTCCATCTTGTGAAATTACAGATCAGGGTGAAACCATGAGCAAAGATTGCAGTCGCCTGGCCAATGGACCAAGTAATGGCAGCTCTTCACATCAGAGGACAGCGGGGCCTGGTTTTTATAGAGAAGGTAGTGGAACAGAGGATGATTTTCCACCCTCACCAAGCAATGGTAATAAGCTTTCCAACCACTCTGAAGATAGAACTGGCAGAGGATCTGGTAGTTATATAAATCAACTCAGTACTGGGTACGAAAGTGTAGACTCTCCCACTGGTAGTGAAAATTCTCTTACTCACCATTCAAATGATACAGACTCTAATCATGATCCACAAGAGGAGAAAACAGTCAGTGTGAAAGGTAACAGAACTTCGGGGTCTCGTCATGTTCAGAATGGTTTGGACTCTAACGTAAATGTGCAGGGTTCGGTTTTGTAACCTTTTTCTGCAAAAATAATTTTTTATAGTGTCACTTAATTGGGAGAAGAAACTGTCCAGAACTGTTCAAATTAGTGCATATATGTCACAATTCTGCCTTTGTGGGTTTTCTGCTTCAATACCTCTGCCACTTCTGAAATTTTAACAATTGATTACGTTGAATGTTGCTAAAAGGATGTTTGTGTAAGCTCAAGGTATATTTTGAGTTAATGTGAAGTTGAAAATGGAATTTTATTTCCAGGTATAACACAATGACGTATGTACAAATCTGTGTATATCTAGAACTTGTGCTGTGTAAGGGCATTCTTTACTCATACTGTTTATAACACTCAAAACTTTGTCATAATAGTTGTGGGTTAATGACTGCCAAGTTTGCCCAGTACAGTAGTTTTCTAACTAAAATAAACTTGGTGAGGGAGTCCTATAGTAGTTTGTGTTCCACTTTTGCCACTATGCATCTGTGTGTTCTCTTTAGGTGACAATGTTTAAGAATTTTGTGTGCATAGTTACTCAGTTTTAAGAACTGTTGTATCCTGTTAATGCATATTGCTCTGTGACTCCAATATTATCTTACCTGTACTGACCAAACCCAAATAAAATTTTTAATAATGTAATTTATTTGATGCTGCTGCATTTATTTATTCAGCATTGGATTTTTCTTCACTGCCATTTTCTGCAGAAATCTTTATAAAATCTTTTTAAAAATATTTGTTTAATTTGGGACAAATGATGGATTTTGCATTGATGTTTTTACATGATGAAAATGATGCAGCCTACTTTCTGGACAGAAAGAGGAAGTAAAAACTGAGTAACATAAATACTAAAAAATTCCTTATCTGAAATCCTTAGTTGCACTTCTCTCTTTCTTTTGTACATTTGGTACACTCCTCTTCTGACAAACTGAATTTCTAAACCCTGAGGTTCATTGTTTAAGCCTATATTATTCTATTTGGACTGATTATTTAGTATAGTATCACAGTAAATTTTCTGTTCAGTTTAATGAAAATTTGTAGGAAAGAGATTATCTCACGATAATTTGCATCTGTCAAACTGACTTATGCCTCAATGTGACAGTAGTCAAGTTGTCTATATACTGCAATTACGATGTCTTATATGCAGAGGAATACACATCTTAAAATTTGTGTATTCCTCTGCATGTAAGACTAGTCTAAATGTAGCCTATTAAAGCCTTGTCAGGAATGGTAAATTATAACCATTACAGAATAAATATATTATAAAAAGCATTATGGATCCTTAAAAGCCACTACAGAGCCATGTTGATATACAATAGTGGTTAAGGCACCAGGCTAGAATCTAGAACTGATCTGTAGTCCTGTGTTAGGCACAAAACCATTTGGGTAAACTTGGGCCAATCCAGCGGTGGTATTCAGCCAGTTTGGACCAGTTTGGGCAAACCGGTAGCGCTGACAATCAGCTGGTACCACCCCCACCCTATCCCGTCCTTTATTTCCTGCTTTCTAGCTCATCTCAATCGTGAGGAAAGCTGATTTTCCCCCCTCATTGTTCTACTTACCGTTGCTGTCTTGGAAGGTAAGCAGCTGAGCTTCTAAATGCTCCATTTTCAGCACGAAGTGTGCACTCACCAAACCAGTTGTTAAACCGACACTGGGCCAATCCCTCACACAATCCAGGGAAAAGGGAAGCCACTTCTGAAATCTTACCAGTCTTGCAGTGACTTATCCAGGCAGTTGTCATGCATCAACACTGACTTGAGGGCACATACAAACCCCCCCCCATTACAATTGGTGAATTAGAGATAGAAGTTACCATTTTGATATATTTAATATAAACTTGCATCATTCTAATGCAATATGGTACTTCAAAAGCATCAATAATTAGTATTTTGGGGATAACTATAAATGATACACTTGCTTTTAATCTTAATGGTACTTGCACAATGTAGTCCAGACCAGGGTTTTTCTGAATGTTCAAGAGAACCCTAAGTTTCCAGGGGAACATGATGGAATTCTGCGAGAGACAAAGGGCAAAAAAAATTCACTTGAACAAAAGGGAATCCATAACAATTTTTCTAAGATACTGTGGGAATGGAAGGACATATCAGAATATTCAGAAACACTCCCCTACAGAGCAATTGTGCTTATGCGACACAGCATTGTGTGTGTTGAAAGGCCCCTGGTCTAGCTGATCTTGCATTCTGTTTCTTAACATCCTGGAAAATCAGCAAAATCTGGGTAAGTCTGATAACTTATTTTCTTTAATGATCATGTAAATATCTATGATCTCAGTTCCCAATATGGCACTCTATATTCCTGTAGATCCATCAACAACTTAAATGCTTACCAAGCTTCCTGGCCTATCTTTTTTTTTTTTTAAGTTCCTTTCAAGTAAAAATGTATTGCCTGGCTTGAAGGGAGGGAAAAGTATGCTAAGTAATCGTATTGTAGAAGCTAAAGGTGGAAAAGAGCTTTGCCATTTTGTTTTCTGATAAATCCATTTAACCACACCTTACCATGCTAGATCACGTCAAGCATTCAAACTTGTAGTTATTTTCCACCATTAGATATACCTAGGTTAGAGAAAGCCACCAGAAAGACCAAAAACAAGAAAATTTCAGGGAGATGTTTGTGATTTGAAAACAGCATGTGGCCAAAGATTGTCTACATTTATAAAAGTATTTATTTTTAAAAGCCTGTTAGGCTAATGGCTGTTACTAAACTGTAGCAGCAAACTCCAAGTAATCATAACATATATATAATATTGTTTTGCTATTGAATTTCTCATAAGTTCATTTAATTGGTTGGTCTAAAGACAAGGTTTTTTTCAACTGAAGTCACGAGCAAATTTGAGAGCCATCACACTCGCTCTGTCTAGACAGTCACCTTTTGTCTTGTCCAGGCAGAACAAGAGCAGAGTCTGGCAACAATTCTGCTGTGCACTGCAAACCAGGTTGTGCACCCAATGCAAATCAGTCAGAATGTGCTGCCAAGGGCAACTTCAACATTTACTGTGTCCATGCTCTCTTGCTTTGGATATGCCTTCATGTTTAAGTCACTTGCCTTACCACCAAGCCACACTAGCTGCCCTCACACATCTTATTTGGCCTTTCTGCTCTGCTTGAATCCTGTCTATATACCCAGTGACATTCCTCAACACATAACAGGCAAAGATAGGGATGCAGAAGGGTGGATGGAGTGAGACTGGCACTATAGGATCTTGTGTTCCATGGCTGCTATCACAGAAGGGAGAAGACTGGCTGCTTCTGTGGTAGAGTGTAGAGCTGAGAAGCAGCGACAGCATCTCAGCAAATCCTAGCAAATTTGGCTAGGAGAAAGAAAATGGAATATCCTTGTCCAGGGAACAGAAGTAAGGTTGGACTCCTTGTCTGGCCTGCCAGTTCTATTTGCTGCCATGTAGCAAAACTGTATTGCCCACAGAACTCTCCCATAAGAGATCATCCTTATCTGTCTCCCATGAACTCGTAGGAAGCCAGAAATGACTTCAAAATTCTGCTACTAAGGACTATATCAATACTGTTTCACTTAAGCTTGTGGAGTCTGTTTCTTGACCTGGTCTATCTTAAAGAGTGTTGGCATCAAATTTGAAAGCCTGATTGTGTTTTCTTTTCTCTGTCTCCTATACCCCAGGAAATTATGGTGGAGCCAAACTAAGCTTCTTTATCACATTTCTTCTATTTCCTAGACTTAAAGTATGCTTCTGTTTTTATAACCATTTCTGTGTATTTCCTCCAAGGTCATTCATGTGGTTCATACTGTACAGAACTACACTTGGATGTTGACCCTTGTAAATCAATGGCCATCTTCCTGATGCTAAATTACCAACCTGCGCACCCCAAAGGAGCTGGTCCTTGTTTTTACCCCACACTAATCATCCCCCCCCCTCCACAACCCTAAGAAATTCTAGCTGCACTAGAATTTGAGCCAATCCCTATTTTTGCCATGTTGACAGATCTGAGCAGAGGTGGACCAGCTGAACTCAGATTCAGAAATAACTGGTGCCTGGGATAACTGTCCTATGCTGGGTTAAGTTTCCATGTCATCTCTAGCAGTCCCTAATGCATTTGTGGAAAGTTTGCCTTGCCCTCTATAGTGGATCAGATGGAGAGTTGAGCCTGATGCTCAATCCTATACACTTGGATTGCCAGCATAGAAGGACCAAATATGATGGTAGGAAAAGTTATCTTATTGGCCTAGACTCCCCCAAGTCATTCTGGACTCCAGAAATGGTGAGACTCTGAAAGGACTCTTGCTGTCCTGTCAAGTCAGCTTGACTTTTAACTTCAGATTGTTTGTTGCCTATTATTTTAAATAGGACCAAAGTCTTCATTATTTGTGATTTAACTACTATCCTGTTGATTTAGGAAACGGCACTTTTAACAGACTCCAAGGAAGTAGCATCAAAGAGATACAGGATGGCTTCACATAATACATTTTCTGAGAGGTAACAACCACAAGTTTACTCAACCCTATTTTACATTATATCGGAAACCATGAACTAACAATACTTGCTGGGATGCTTAATGCATAGTGGTATGCTAAAATCAACTAGTTTGGAGTGACATTTTTGATTCAATGTGCTTTGGAAATCCAGATATCTGAGTTAATTCAGTAACCATAATTCAATTAGCCAGAGAATGAGGAAAAAAAAGGAATTGTCTTTTCTTCTTTAGCTTTTTATATTAAGCAAATGTCACAGGACTTGATGGATTGACTAAATTATGTGCCATCAAGTCTTTTTTGACTCCTAGCCACCATATAGTCACCACACTTACCAATGCTTTTAGAATAAAATTGCACATGGACACACACAAAGATCCCTGCACATCTGCTTGGATTGCAAGAGAATAAAAAATTCTGCCTGATTTCGGGGACTTTGGAGAATTATGAAATTTTTTATTTGCCAAATGAATCAGTGCTGCAGTAACGTTTAGAAATTATGGCCATTAATTTCCATTATTATAGAAACATAAATTAATTTCTGCTATTATCTCTGTGGGAGCAGGGGTGAAATCTAGTTACCTTCCTTAACAGTTCGGAAGCGCACGCACTGTGCACGCACACACACACCTTCTGTGCATGCGCAGAAGGTAAAAAAAAGTACTTCCTGATTAAAACCAGGAAGTAATGACAGCCAGGCGGTGATCGCTTTCAGATCGCCGAACCACAGAGAAAAATCGCTACTGGATCGGATGATCCGGTCTGATCCGGGAGCATTTCACCCCTGGGTGGGAGTGAGTTGCATTTTAGTAACATCTGTGCAGCAAAGGTAACATGAAAGAACTTTTAATGTATTATGAAATAGTTATGCTAGACACTGAACAGTTTTGCTACATTCTCATTATTTAGCTGTCAGGATGGAAGTAGTCAGTTATTCCACTGGTCAGGTAGCTTTAGCCCAGGGGTCTCCCAATTTGGCAACTATAAGACTTGTGGACTTTAACTCCCAGAATTCCCCAGCCAGCTTATAGTTGTGAAGTTTATAGTTGCCAAGTTTGGACAGCCCTGCTCTAGGCCAGATCAAAAACCATTCAGTTATAGCAGGCAGGGTGCTGACGGAGTGAAACATTTTACTTTCTCCAGCGCAAGTTGTATTGCCACAACAGGTTACACCTGGTTAAAAAGTGCAGAATATAGCAACAAAGATGATTAGGGGATTGGAGGCTAAAACATATAACAACGGTTGCTGGAATTGTATATGTCCAGTTTAATGAAAAGAAGAACTAGAGGTGACATGATAGCAGTGTTCCAATATCTCGGGCTGCCACAAAGAAGAGGGAGTCAAATGATTCTCCAAAACACCTGAAGGTAGGACAAGACGCAACGGGTGGAAACTAATCAAGGAGAGAAGCAACCTAAGGAGAATTTTCCTAACAGTGAGAACAATTAACCAATGGAACAGCTTGCCTCCAGAAGTTGTGGATACTCCATTACTGGAGGTTTTCAAGAAGAGATTGGACAGCCGTTTGTCTGAAATGATATAGGATCTCCTGCTTATGCAGAGGGCTGGACTAGAACTCCAAGGTGCCTTCCAACTCTGTTATTCTGTTAACTGAAAAGGCCTAGTGCAGTATTTTTCAACTTTAATAACTTTAGGACAGGTAAACTTCAATTCCCAAAATTCCTTGGGTAGCTTGGTGGCTGGGGAATTCTGGGAGCCGAAATCCATTCTATCCTAAAGTTTCCAAGGTTGAGAAACACTGGCCTTAGTAAATTTCGTTCACAGCATGCTGCGCCCCAAACAACGAAACCTTCCCTTTTAGCCTTGGCGACGGAAAGCAAGTGCCGGCTACAAATAGCGAACGGCAGCAAAGAGACCCGCAACACTTCGTGTCACAATCGTCCAAAAAGTCTGGCGCCCAGGACTACTGTATACCTTTACTTCAGTGCATTGTCTGAACTCAGCCAATGCATCTGCGACGAGAAGGCATCCAAACGGGTCATTGCTTGTGAAAAAATAAAATAAAATAAAATAAAATAAAATAAAATAAAATAAAATAATAAAATAAAATAAAATAAATAAAATAAAATAAAATAATAAAATAAAATAAAATAAAATAAAATAAAATAAAATAAATGCCCGAACAAATATTTGGAAAAGAAACTCCAATTCGGTGGAGAAGCAAAGTAATAAATCAGCCACACCCATCCCCTCCTAATTCCTTCCAGGCTACCGCTTCCGCCGCTGAATCCGGCACCTCCCGTTTTATAGGCCAGATAAGAGAAGAAGATGCCCTCCGCCGAACACCAACAGGAGGAGGGCGAGGCGGGGCTGCGCAGGCGCCGTAGTGAAGAAAGGGGCCCAAGGCTCGCGGCACGCCGAGAGCAGCGCGCGCGACGTCGTCCTCGCGCGGACGGGGTTTTTTTTTTTTTCTTGTTTTTGGTGCGCCGTCCTTGCTGTCTTGCGAACCCCGCGGCGGTCATGCTTTGCCGCTTGGCTGTCGCGGCCGGCCGCAGGTGAGAACCTGGCGGGGTCGGAAAGCCCTTGAATTCCCTGCCAAGGACGTGACGAGAAGCGGGAGATTAGGAATGGGCAGGAGGACGCGAGGGCACGAAAGGGTGGGTTGCTTGGGAAGGAGAAGGAGGAGAGCGCTGCTGGAAGGACGCTTGGATTCGGTCGAAGGCGGCTGCCCCAGGCTAATAGCAAAAGCGCTTCGACTTGTATACCGCTTCACAGTGCTTTATTAAGCGGTTTACAGAGTCAGCCTATTGCCCCCAACTATCTGGGTCGTCCTTCATTTGGAGTTGCAGACTTATCGTCCCATTGAAGGCCAGTATAGCTGGAAGGGTCTGCATTGGGCAAAGCGTGAAACTACTCCGTTAAGTTTTTGCATGTAGCTTTTGTTCTGGGTCCAAAGGAACTCTGCAGCTGCTGAAATCTACTGTTATTTGTCCCTGGCACTGTCAGTAAATGCTTTACAATAATTTTGGAACGGGCTTTACAATAATTTTGGAACGGGCTAATTTTGGCTAGTGCACATTAACCTTGCTAGGTAAATTATTGTCATTGGCCAAAGTCATTGGTTCCTCCCTCTATAAATGGGAGTTTATTTTATTTATTTGTTGAATTTGTATGCCACCCATATCACTGTTAACGGCGATTCTTGATGGCTTACAGAGTAATTAAAAAGTAAAAAAAAGATAGCACAAAACACTTAAAAGTAGGAAGATTAAATAAACTAAAAACCCAGTGGACAAGCAACCCGGAGTGGGGATCTTCTCTCTATCTAACCTCCAGCCTACAAGGCCCATATTGAGACTCCAGGCCAACTGGCAAATAGGTAGGTTAGTGCCCTTTGATTATGTGCCATTGGACATAGGTTTCCATGAACGTGCTCTTCTTTAATACTTGCTTTTTGGAAGTTCTCACCCCCAGAATTAAAATGAGCTTTCTGCATGTGCTGTCATTTTGTGTTAAACTTTGTGACCAAGTTTTTCTTGCACTTTCGCCTTTGACAGTTTATTGGTAAACATGACATATATTCTTCCATAAAAGAGAAACAAAAACAATAATTGCATTTTATAGCTTAACTATGGTGCCACATTTTAATGTTTGTGGATATACGTATGTTGTTTTATTATGTTGTTTTAACTCTTGGCTGGGAGCTACCCAGGGTTTGATATGAGATTGGCACCTATATAAATGTTGAGAGAAAAAGAATGAATAAATGAATCGGGGGATGGGATGGCAACAGCTTTATTTACTGATTAAAAACATAGTTTTGACTAGAAACATGAAAGAAATCTAATATCAACTTTAATGAAAAATAAAATTTAGACTTTTATTTTTAGCAGTAATAAGTGATAAATCATAGTCAGTGCTTAGTGTTCCCAATCCATATACACAATACAATCCATATTTGCAAAATACATTTAAAGAATAAAACAAATATTAGATGTAGTTCAGTGAAAATCAATGCATTATTTTATTTATTGTCTTTCAGAAATAACACTGCGCTGATTACATCTCTTGGTTGTCTGGCCTCCAGAAAAAAGCACACACTCCCTGACTTGCCCTATGATTATGGTGCTTTGCAACCACATATTAGTGCAGAAATTATGCAGCTTCACCACAGCAAACATCATGCTGCATATGTAAATAATCTGAATATTGCTGAAGAAAAATACAAAGAGGCTTTGGCAAAAGGTACTGGGAATAATATATCACTGTACATCTTTCTGGTTTTATTCCTGCTAAAAATGACTGTTCTATGTACATTTGTTTCCCCTGTGCTAAGAGTAATAATAATTATTATTAATAATTATTAATAATATTAATAATATTATTATTAATAATTAGTAATAATATTATTATTAATAATTAGTAATAATTATTCAAGGTGAAAGCCTTCTTCTTTGGACTGTCAGTGAGTCAAACTCTCACACAAACTCTTTTGAATTCTCAGAGGAAAACATGGGATATAAATCAGGGGTGAAATCCAGCAGGTTTCTGACAGGTTCTGGAGAACTGGTAGCGGAAATTTTGAGTAGTTTGGAGAACCGGCAAATACCACCTCTGGCTGGCTCCAGAGTAGGGTGGGAATGGAGATTTTGCAATATCCTTCCCCCAGGAGAGGGGTTGGAATGGAGATTTTGCAGTATCCTTCCCCTGCCACGCCCACCAAGCCACATCACGCCCACCAAACCATGCCCACAGAACCAGTAGTAAAACAAATTGGATTTAACCACTGATATAAATGCAGTAATTGTGTTCCTATCTTCTCTTACCCAACTGGAGTGCAGTAGAGGCCATTGTAGAGTCCAGGATCCACATGTCAAATTTGCGTTTAAAAGACTAACATAAACAATAATGAAACCAATTTGAGGAGTTGTATGCAAAATGAATATGTTAAAGAGAAGGCATTGTATCATGTCAACTAGCAGTTGATAGTAGCCTTAATATATTTGGATTATGAGGAAATCACAGTTGTAATTTGTTGTCCCCTTGGCTGACTAGCACAAGTAAGCAGAGGAAGCCATTTGTCGTTTGTGCCTTCCACTGTCATGATATTGCAAACTAATATGGTCATATCAGTGGAGTTAGCTAAACACATATACAATTGCCCTCATGTTATTGAGCATTATGTTGTCCCAGAGAGTGCTCTTTTTGGATTGTAGTCTTTATGTTATTTGGTTTATTACATTTTCAAAAGTATTTGTTATAAATGGTTTATGTAAGTTATTGAATATAACTCTTAATCCTAGCCGTTTGGAAGGTAACTTAAGTTTATAAATTTGTTTCTAAGGTACCAGCATACTATTCACGAGGACTTTGTATGATGTTTCTCAACAGTTGCTCATAGAAGCTTTACAGATAGAATAAGGAGAAGAGATATAGTCCCTACGAGTTTAATAATTAAACTGGGACAGGAATGCTTTTAGTTGATGGTTCCAAGAAAAGCAAAAATCTTTATTCATAGGATGTAGCCAAGCATTGTTCTTGGTGTGTGGTCTAGAGATAAATCAAAAGAATCTTATTCAAACTGCATGAAACAGAAAATAAAAATCAATTTGCATAAAGCTAGTTTATATTTGCATCATATTTCAAGTTGCATTCTGTGTTTCATCAGAAGAAAATTTGATTAGTCTGATGATTCTTTTTTTATCGAAAGAAGCTTTCAGCATAAGCGTTTTCCCTTTTGGCATTATTTCCAGTTCCATGTAAGGATACATTCAAGAAAAAAGGCTGGGAAACCAAGTTTTGTTTTGTCTTTCCCCTAATTCAGATGTGGGTCAGGAAGCAGCAATTACAATTCCTTGAAACTGGTATAAGGAAGCATGGATTTGGAATATTGGAACCCAGAGCTAAAGGGAGCCACGTTAAGTTCCTAACATTTTAGAGATTTTGCTGAACTGAAGAATGCCAACACATGTTTTAACTAGGATGTGCATAACAGTACTTGAATATATGTGTGAATTCTTAAATGGAAGGCACTTGCATAAGATGGTTTGTGTTAGGACTTAGTAGTTCTGCTTTTTCTCTGTTCTTTCCATCTTCAGGGGATGTAACAGCTCAGGTGTCTCTTCAACCAGCTTTGAAGTTCAATGGGGGAGGTCACATTAATCATAGCATCTTTTGGACAAATCTGTCTCCTAAAGGTGGAGGAGAGCCAAAAGGTTTGTATTTGAACTGGTTTATAGTAGTTTTAGTAATATTGATACAGGTGTAAGTAAACTTTGGGTTTATTTTAGAAATATTACTTAAGTTTTAAATAAAACAAATCGGGTTCTTTATCAGTGGCAAATGAAAATCAGATTTGAATGCTTGATCCACCTCACTCCAAAATACTTATTAATATTTGCAACATGGTTGTCTTCATGTTACTAATATTAGAGCTAGTTTTACAGTGTCTGCAGATTCATGCAGAGGTGGGGCATCTTTTCAGATGCCATGCTGGGACATATTTATCAGTGGTAAGTAAAATATTTCTATATAGCACTTAGCAATAACACTTAGACTAATATACCGCTTCATAGTGCTTTACAACCCTCTCTAAGCGGTTTACAGAGTCAGCATATTGCTCCCAACAATCTGGGTCCTCATTTTACTGACCTCAGAAGGATGGAAGGCTGAGTCACCCTGGTGAGATTCAATCTGCCAAACTGCTGGCAGCCGGTGATCACCAGAAGTAGCCTGCAGTACTGCACTCTAACCACTGTGCCACCGCTGCTCTTTAAAGTCCTCTATGGCACCTGCCCCAGGTTATCTGGGGGACCATCTCTTTCTAACTTTAACTTCTACCTACCAAGATAGGGCAGGAACACTTCTAGTACCCTTCCTTAAATGATGCCATTTTATGGCATTTGGGATATGTGCCTTTTTGCGTCCCATCCTTTTAACCTTCCAAAAAACACTTGAAGCTGACTTTTTTTCAAAATACTGAGATCGGGTGAAATTGTTGAAATGAACTTCTGAGAAGTGAAGGTTTAACTGGTTTCGGTTGGTTTAGTTTTGTTTTGGATTTGGTTTCCGCTCAGTAAATTTCTGTAAATTGATGTTGTTTTACCAATGTAAATGTTATTTTAATACCAATATTTTAGTTTGCTTTCATAAATTCTTTTGGTCTAATACAGCAATTGATAATCATGAAATAAACCAAGATTATGGCTTTCGCCAAAAGGCCGAAACTCTGTTTATGGAGCATTAATGGCCATATAATAAAACAAACGATTAGGATTAAGTATTTAGGAGTTGTCATTCATGCCACTGGTTTGACGAAAACCCATGGGAATATGCTGCAGGTACTGGACAAAAATCTGCCAGTCCCATCCTTGTTTTTCTGATTCAAAGGAAGCTATTAGGTTCCAGCCGTACTTAAGCTCTTTCAGGCTAAATTGTTAGCCCAGCTCTTTTATGGGACTCCCCTCCAGCTTCATGTTTTACCTCTCTGGAGAGGGTACAATCTAAATTAATTAGAGCAGTTCTCCAGATACTACGCTGTGTCTCAAACACACATCTACAAGTGTAGACAGGTAAGATAAAAGCTGAGTCAAGAATGCCCAACTTCTATAAGCCTTTGGTTAAAACTCAAGTTATATCTCCAAGAATTAGCATCATTAGTTCTTCCGGACAATTTTCAATCTGCATGGATCAAGGCTGTTGATATTTATAATATTTTAAATCTAGGCTAGTCTCGGTCCTCAGTTCTTAAGATGGAATAAGATCAGGCAAAACAAACCCTGAAGCAAAGGTATAAAGGATACAGAGAGGCACGCAGACCTAAAGAAGGCCTCAGGCTTCCTATCACCATTACTCAACAGATATATTGTCACTTCTGCCACCAACCTTACATGGCTAGAAACGCCCAACCATCAGAAAGCTTTCTTGCCCAATGTCATGCTCTCCCCTCTGCAGGGGAGGTACCTTTACCATACCTTTGGATGGTAAAGATCAAAAAGTACCAAGGCTCTGCCTCTGTGATTACAGAGAAGTGGAAACTACAAAGCATGTTCTTCTTCGTTGCTCCTTTTATGGAGATATCCACACCAGATTTATACTGCCTCTGATTAGTAGATACCCTGATTTGCCCAAATTCAGCTTTTGCTCAGATGCTAGTCATGGATATAGTACCCCTTGTTACAGTACATGTAACTTGTGTTTTGTGCAGCATCACGGAAGATCTGTTCAAACTTGATGGACCAATCTCCCCTAATGCATTCTTTGTAACTATAATTCATTTAAATTTTAATATTTGTTGATAATAGTTTTAGATACTATTATTTTGTTGTAATTTTAAATGCTAACATATTTAATACAGTTTTAGTGTTTACATTATAATTTAGTGTAGCCTGTATCCTAGATCTCACTTATGGATATCAATTAAATTGTTTCACAAATGTATTTTAATTTTGTTTTAAGCATTATTTTGTTTATTATCTGCCTTTGGAGACAATAGCATAAATAAGAGATTATCAGAAGATTGCAGAATCGCACAGAACCTACATATCTAGTGAATCCCTTCTTTTGTAGGCATGAAATAGCTTTGCCTTTTGCTGCTTACTGTTATAGTGGCTCAGCATTACAGTAGCAGCATTGCTAAACAATTACCATTAACTAGCATATCTTTCTCAAACCTTGATTAAGAGGCAGCCTGATAAATTACAATCATCCTGATGATAATGGATGCCTTACTGTGAATTACTATTGCATTGAATTGATGGGAGGAACATAACAAAATGTGTAATTTTTTTAGGTTGCTTCTGTTTTCTTCACATTGGTTAAGATTATGTTGATTTCTTATTTACACCAGCTCTCTTCAGAATTAATCTGAAATAGTTCTTTGGACTACCTGATGGGAAAAAAAAACATTGATGTTCTATGTAAATGCAAACTGTTTATATATTTCTCGTTTTAAGGAGAGCTTTTGGAAGCCATCAAACGTGATTTTGGCTCATTTGCAAGTTTTAAGGAGAAACTCACAGCTGTTTCAGTTGGTGTCCAAGGCTCAGGTTGGGGATGGCTCGGTTTTAATAAAGAATCTAATAGACTCCAGATTGCTGCCTGTTCCAATCAGGACCCTCTCCAGGGAACCACAGGTGAGATTCTCTAGGTGGAAATTGACTACATCTATTAAAGACCATTTTTAGCCTCAGAAAGAATAAAGCAGTAGCAATTAGCATTTAGACTTATATACTGCTTTATAGTGCTTTACAGCACTCTGAATGGTTTACAGAGTCAGCATATTGCTCCCAACAGTCTGGGTCCCCATTTTACCGACCTTGGAAGGATAGAAGGCTGAGTCAACCTTGAGCCAGTCAGGATCAAACTCTAGGCAGTGGGCAGAGTCAGCCTACAATACTGCATTCTAACTACTGCGCCACCATGGCTCCAATATGAGCGTTGATGATTCTGCTTTATGTTTCACTAGTGAATGCTTTTTTTTTTTTTTTTAATTTGATTTATATGCCACCCTTCTCCGGAGACTCAGGGCGGCTTACAATGCGCTAAGCAATAGCCTTCATCCTTTTGTATATTTAAACAAAGTCAGCTTATTGCCCCCACAAACTGGGTCCTCAATTTACCTACCTTAGAAAGGATGGAAGGCTGAGTCAACCTTGAGCCTGGCGAGATTCGAACCTGCAGTAATTGCAGGCAGCTGGTCTTAATAACAGGGTGCTTTAGACCACTGTACTACCAAGGCTTTTGCTTTACTCATGAGAAGAACTTCTAGTTTCTGACAGTCTCACTTGCATAGCAGTTTGGATACGAAAACAAAAGAGTAAAGCAGACATGAGCAGTATTCGTAGACTAAAGGCTAGATTCATCAAAGCATGTTCTTAGCCTCCCAGAAAGTTTCAACAATAGGGTGTTCAGACATGAATATAAAATAATAACTGTTGGAAAAACTTCCAAACTTCTCTTCCTCAAATCTCCCCTGCAGGTAAGAGATAGCTCAGTCTCTCTTTCCAGCTTCTCATTTCAATCTTGTGGTCAGCACATAGTATTTGGCGAGAACAGCTTTCCTTGAACTTAGTTTTGTTTTGAATAAGAATATTTTGGGAGGCATTTTCTGTATATATGAGAGAAGCGTTTGCTCTCTCTTTCTGTCTTAAGACAAAAACGCCATTTTTACAAGTTTCTAGGCTTAACAAAATAAAAACTCTTCTTTCTACACCTTTAAAATTCACAGTAGCTGTATTTAGAGGAACTCTACTGTTTCCTAGAGGAAGAAGGTATAGATAATCTTCGACTTACAGCCACAATTGAGCCCAAAATTTCTGTTGCTAAATGAGACATTTGTTAAGTGAATTTTGCCCTATTTACAAACTTTTTTGCCACACTTGTTAAGTGAATCACAGTGGTTGTTAAGTAAGTAACAACTTACGTTATTACTTACGTTGTTACTTAAGTGAATCTGGCTTCCCCATTGACTTTGTTCGTTAAAAGATAAAGGTTCCCCTCGCACATACGTGCTAGTCATTCCCGACTCTAGGGGGCGGTGCTCATCTCCGTTTCAAAGCCAAAGAGCCAGTGCTGTCCGAAGACGTCTCCGTGGTCATGTGGCTGGCGTGACTAAACACCAAAGGTGCATAGAACGCTGTTACCTTCCCACCAAAGATGGTCCCTATTTTTCTACTTGCATTTTTTATGTGCTTTCAAACTGCTAGGTTGGCAGAAGCTGGGACAAGTAACGGGAGCTCACACCTTTACGTGGCACTAGGGATTTGAACTGCTGACCTTTCAATTGACAAGCTCAGCGTCTTAGCCACTGAGTCACCACCTTCTAACGGACACAGCAACCATCATAAATATAAGTCAGTTGCCAAGTGTCTGAATTTTGATCATGTGACCATGGGGATGCTGCAGTGGTTGTGTGAAAAACAATCCTGAGTCACTTGTAACTTTGAACGGTCACTAAATGAACTGTTGTAAGTCAAGGACTACCTGTACTTCCTTCCAAGAGGCATGATGGGTGTGTAATGAGAGTAATTAAACCGTCGGGAAATCAGTTTATTTTGAAAAGTATTCTTTATATTCCCTTGAAAATAGCTAATACTAACTGGCTGGTCAGTGTTTATTTGGGTAATAGTCCTATCGGCTTTATTTAAATTGGGGTTGGGGGTTTGTTTGTGGCAATAACTTGTTAAGTTTGTAGTATTTTTGCAATATTTTTCCTCTTTTTTTTAGGACTGACTCCTCTGTTGGGAATTGATGTATGGGAACATGCGTATTATCTTCAATATAAAAACGTTAGACCTGACTATCTCAAAGCTATCTGGAATGTGATCAACTGGGAAAATGTATCTTCAAGATATACAGCTTGCAAATAATAGAACAGAAAATCTTATAGAAACAAGACCTAAGGGTTCCTCAGATTATTTTCATAATATGTAGCAGTTCAATTGCTAATTGTTCCATCACTGAAAATATCACATCACCAGAAAGTCCTCTCTATCAAGCTAATTTGTACCTAATTGTGGTAAAATTGTAGGTTCTGAAAGTGCTAATTGTCTCCTTTAAAAAACGGGTTATCTAATTTTCTGAAAGAATATAAATTTCTAAAACTTAAAAATGGATTACAAATGAAATTCTTTTTAGTAATGTGAATTTGAATGCTTTTAAATAATTTCTTGCAAATTGAGGAAGAGTCCAGGAAATAAAATTTAGAGAACATTTAATAAATGAGATTTCTTCAAAAGTTATGTATCAAGAGCTTCATGGTACTTAAATAAGTTATACTGTTATACTCACGTTAACGATAAAAATTTGGCATGTTCATTATAAAGATTCAAAATCTGTGTCAGTTGGTAAATATATAAAGTTAGTTTGTGAAATTTGAGCTTCTGAAAGGGGGAAAAAATCAGTGATAAATATAGTATACCAAGTATATAAGATAAATTGATTGGATTAAAAGTGTAATTTGCACTTTGGGTCTTTGAGTGAAATATATCCATTTATTGCTATGTCTACTATATATCTCACTATTGTATATGACGCTCCAAAAATAAAAGTGCAAAATGACTCTTAAGTCATTAAATAAACGTGTATAATGCTAATGGATCATTTTAAAATGAAAAAACTTTAGGATTAAATGCGAAAACTACTGGGATTGGTGTATTGAGTATGCCTGGGGAAATGGTTGTTAAAAATTCAGAATGCCACATCTCACATACTTTCAAAGAGCAAAATATGGAAAAAGTGAAAATGAGAAAAATGTAGATTTATTTAGATACAAGGTAAACTGAATAGGCTTAAATGATAAAACATTGCATATAAATAAGATATTGAAAGTTGGTTGCAGAATACAATAGAATAAATAGAATACCTGAGAAATGGTTCATTTTGTTTGGAGATGAATACGTTTGTATTTTTGTATTCAGATCATGCTGTGGTGTTGGCTGAGAACCTAAATTTGCAGCAGATGTTAGGGTAGATAATGCAATGAGTATGAATGAAAAATAAAAGATCAAAATAAGTGTATTTGGAATCAACAGATATAAATTATATATATAAACGACCGAAAATTAGAGCATGAAAATGATTTTGTGCACCTTATAAAGATTTTAAAAACATTTGAGTATAGTAAATTCCCCTTGAGAATTTACAAATCAGTAAATGGTATGTAAAGATAGTTGATATTCTATTATGTAAAGGTAGCAGGAAGTCTTTAACATTGCCACTAGATGGCGTTGCTCTACCATATTTAGAAATTCTGTTTGGCTAATGTAATAAATTGGTATATTTAAATGCTAACTAAATTGTTAGGACATAAGCTATAGGCTAGAAAATATTTCAACAGATGTAGAAAATGTTTGCATAAGCTGGAAGAAGAGTGAATATTAGTTATCCAACTCAGCAAATGGAAAGATACACTAGGAATTAAGGCAGGAAACTTGTTAAAGACTAAACTATAGGAAACAGGTTTTATCAATTTTTTCTTTTAATGACTTTTGATCCATTCTCCCCATTGCCACTAATTGACGTAGATAAGAAGAAATATCTATTCCAGAATCGAGGCTGATATACAACAATCCTATTTTTAAAGATTTACTAGGGAATGTGGGAGCTTTGGATCCACAATATCCAAAGATTTTGCCTAAATCACTGCCAACAGCTGGTTCTATCCACAGAGCTATCATATTACACTCCCCATTCCATTTCAGCTAACAGGTCTGGTATTATAATTAATAGAATTTTTTTTTTAAAAAAATGATCTTAGACAAAAAATGTGTAACTTGCAACCAAGCAGAAGTTTTTGATTTTTTTCAAATGGGAGAGAGATGGTTTTCAATATTGATCCTTTTTTAAAATAAATGAAGTTTTCAGTAAGTGGCTACAATAAAAGTTCTTTTTTAGTGTTGACAGCATAAATATGGCAGAAAAATGAGAACATTCTCTTCTCTGAAATCCTCTTTGAGGGTCTCATGGGTGTATCAGGTGTGGCTTCAGCCATAATAGCACCGAATCTGCGAAATTGGAATTTCTGATTTTTCTAATATTTTACCCATGAATATTAATCATATTTTTAAAATATTTTTAGAATGGTATTGCCTTGTCCATTCAGGCATAAAGTGGTTTCATCCACTACAAGCACAATAGGATCATATTTATTTAAAGTATATTCTTTCAACTGATGTTCTGAAAACAAGTCTGGTAAACAGAAATGTATGATCTCATAAATTTAAACCAACTTAAATACTAACGTCCCATTGGACTTTTGTTGCAGAATAATTTACAAAATACTACACATAAATTCTTACCTGTGTTTAAATTGAATAAAATTGCAAATAAATTGACTTATGGCAGCAGTCTTCTGATCCCTGGAAGTAAATTCAGAAACTAAGATATTTCAGAATTGTCTGTCAGAGGGTAGAGCTTCAACACAAAAAATGCTAATGTGGCACATCCTCTTTTAGAGTCACTGAAACTTACTGTCAAAAGATTTGACAGAATTGGAGATAAGCAGAAGATATTTCATGAATATATGGAAACACAGATTCCAAAGAGCAGGAGTGTCAAACTCGAGCCCCACGGGCTGGATCCGGCCTATGGGGTGCTTAAATCTGGCCTGCAGGGCTGGCCTGGAAATAGCAAAGGACCGGCCCTCGGTGCTTCTGGCAGCCAAAAGGGGGGGTTGCATGCGACCGCACTGTCCCATTTTTGGCCTGGACATCCTCCTGCAGCACTTTGCTGGTCAAAATGGGGCATGGGGCCACACACGACCACACTGTGTCCTGTTTTGGCCGGCAAAGTGCTGCAAAAGGTTGTTCAGGCCGAAAATGGCACAGTGTGGTCTTGCATGGCCATCCCCTGCATCCCTTCTTGGCCAGCTGAGTGGTGCAGGAGGTGTACTTCCCATCTCCCCCCCCCCACTCCCGGCTAGCCCGCAGAGGAGAACTACAATGCTGATCCGGCCCTCAAAGAAATCTAGTTTGACACCTCTGCCCTAGAGAGATCCCCAGAATTAGAAAAAAAAATACATGACAGGTCTGGAGAATTCATATGTAATTGGGAAAGGCAAATGCTTCTGCAATTCAGAAAAGCAGGTGATTCATCTTTGATCAGTCCTTTCACTCAGAAGATTAAATCAACAGTTGCATAATACTTTTCCAGCTGAGATAACACAAAATATTCTGTTATTTGGAAGCTTCACCTAGCAAAAAATGTATGCAGAATCTGCATAGTCAAATGTATGAACTTGCCATCAGTAGAGGGAGTTCTTTAGCTGGCCTGGATATTATAGCAGCTTGTATAAATAGCTCATATTTCTCTGGGTATTTTTCTGTTTGGGGGTGCACACAACCTTCCTTGTGCTGTCATCATGCATTTCTTTCCATGTTTAGAACTATTTTTAAAAACTGAAATTTCCACACAGACTAACTAGCATATATCCTTAAACATAATTAACAATTGTGAGACTTCAGAAGTTTTAAAACAGGAGAGAGGTAATTGAAAAGGCACCAAAGATTCTAGATCCTTCAAAAAATATGCATGTACAGAATTGGTATACATGCAAATATTACATTAAAAAAGCATAGTCGATAAGCTTAAACCAAATCAGTTTATCTGAATATCTAATTTAGGGATGGGGAATTTCTGACCTCTGGGCTTGATCAGTCCAACTTGTGAGGCTTAAGGCAAGGTTTCTTTTCCTATGCAAAGTTCCTTTATCAACATCTTGTGGTTCTAGTCCTGTTTATACTTTTACAGGACTATTGGTAGGTTTGGGATGGCTTTGGCTACATTTTACCTCTCCCTCTTTTAGATGAAGAATGAAGCAAGGGCCTCTAATGCTGCTTGAGAATCATAGTAGGTCATGTCCAGGCAAATTGCAAGCCATTCCACTGGTTAATTGTTCTCACTGTTTTTAAGAAGAAACACATCTATTCGATCCTTTCCACTAGAACTTGAGCTCTTCTGAAAACAAAAATGGTAGACACATTTTTTTTTTTTTTTTTTTTTGCTGCTGCATTTTATTATTTTGGCATATGTAAGGATTTTTTTCCCCATATGTGCTTTGATGAGACAGGACAGCATTTGGTGGGGCCCACAAATTCTCAACCACTTTAACTGGCCACCTATCAATGGTGTATATGCCATCTCAATCACTAAGATAACGGGGCAGATTGGGGCAGATTTAAGGGTAGGAATGATTCACTTTTTGCTTTTATCAAAGAAAGGCACAAAAACATGCTGCTGAAATCAGACTGTTTTGATAAACACTTCAGTGCAATGTCAGATTCCTCTGGGGATAACAAATTGCAGGATGAAGCCTTCATGTGGCCCATGCATATTGCTCTCCTTTGGAAATATTGAAGAAAAGGCAGAATATAGAAGAAACAGTAGAACTAAAGATGTACTTTTGTATCAGGGATGAAATCCAGCAGGTTCTGACAGGTTCTGGAGAACCGGTAGTGGACATTTTGAGTAGTTCGGAGAACCGGCAAATACCACCTCTGGCTGGCCCCAGAGTGGGGTGGGAATGGAGATTTTGCAATATCCTTCCCCCAGGAGTGGGGAGGGAAGGGGGATTTCGCAGTATTCTTCCCCTGGAGTGGGTGGGAATGGAGATTTTGCAGTATCCTTCCCCTGCCACGCCCACCAAGCCACACCATGCCCACCAAACCGGTAGTAAAAAAAATTTGGATTTCACCACTGCTTTATATGACTCTTAAAGAAAAGTAAGCAAGCTAAGAAGATGAACATTGTGCTTATAGTCAATAGAAGTCCAACCTGATTCAGTGACAACTGTGTAGTGATAGAATCATTTCCATTGTATCCAACTAAAAAAAGTGACAGCAAGAATGCTAGTTGGTTTTCCCTGTAAGTGATCATAATGGAATTTTATACTGTACATGCTAGTTTCTAAACCAGAATTCTGGAAGGATACCAGATTGGAAAAAAAACTAAACTAGTCAATTCCCGTGAACTATTGTAGTTGTATTGTATCATGAGGTCTTAGGCTAAGAGCCTTTCTGGTGAAAATACTTTCTACTTTCTTCACAGTCTGCATCTCAGAACCAATGAACAAGATAAGTATGTATTTGTGTTTATTATGTTATTTATCTGAAACATTCCTTCCTATACAATGAGCACTAATTTCCTTGGTCCTATTGGTTTGATAGGAACCTAGTCCAAAAGACAGGTGGTATCCTTTCCACTAATAATATAGCTTGTAGAACATGAGTGTAAAATCCATTTTACTAACAAGGGCCATTTATAGATAGGAATGATTGCCAACATCAATATCACAGAGTACTTGAAATATTTATGCAAAGCAAAATTTAACCACTGTCTTGGAATCTTAGTGCAAATGCGAGGGACATATATGGAAGTTTCCATACACATGAGTGCCATTTCTAGACTAATTCAGCTCAATAAGTTCAGTGCTTAGGAATTTGGGACACTGAGAACAAAGCAAGTCTCTTTTCCTAAACCTACTTATGTATATACCTCCCCAAAATCCTGCAGTCTTTATGGGAGAAACAGTTGTTTAGTGTCCAAACGTTTTTCTTTTGCCTTGGAAAATAACTTACTCTGC